ATACCCCACACACATGGATGCAATAGTCCATGGCTCTACTGCCATCTCCCGGGCACCGCGGGATTGTTGGTGCCTTGCGCTGACCAGTCTGAGTGCCGTGTTGGTTGTCATTGGCCCGCATTTCTTTTCACGCCGATCCCGACAAACAAACGAACTCGGTTCGCTCGCCCACCAGGGGACGCGACCCCGGCAAATTTCCGATAAATATCTTGATTTGAAGCTTGCGTGACTGCAGGAATCCCTAATCTTTGCGTGAAGTCACGTGGGTAGAAAAATAAAAAATAAATAATAGATCACGACGTTTCGGACGCAGCACAAGCGTCCGTCATCAGGCGAATAAATACTTCAGCCACAGCCCCCGCCCCTCCCGGGGACCTCAAACAAGCCAGGAATAGTCATGAGCCACTTCACTTGCCCCGCTCATTAAACTAGGGCGGTGGTGACGATGGTGGTGGTGGTGACCTACAAACGTAAATACGTGGGGAGCGGTATCGTGGTGGTTTAGCGAACTGCGCTTCCCAACCCGGCCGTCCGGGTTGGACTCCCGGCCATGGCCAACATCAGTGGCGAACATCTGGGCTTCCCCGAGGTCGACTCAGCCTTAAATAAGTACACGGTGCAGTGTGTGAACATCAGCGCTGGGGAGACAAAGGCGGTCCGGCATTGTTCTGGTCACCGAACACCCACTTGGGTGTCGTGTCGACCTTAATAGGTTCTGGCAAACAGCACCTATTGACAGCGATGTGCGTTTGTATGTTGCTGATAAAACTCGCCACGTCGTGCACATCGTGAATTGATCAAGTTTTAGCTCGGCTGAAAGTCACGTCCACGTTGCATTTGTTCTCAGATGGCATTACACAAACTCTCACGGGATGGAAAGTTATTGCATACACACACACATTGCATATGCACGAATGCCATTTGCGCAGTCACAGCAGCAGCAGCAGCAGCGGCAGCCACCACCACCACCATTGTTTGTCACCTGAGTCGACCCCTGGGCTAAGCTTTGGCAGGTGAGCATCAGGGCTGCACGCACGGCTTGGGAGGCAGAGACGCCAGATACCGATGGTGTTCAAGTAATCCGCAAGATCAACGTCGTAAAAACGAAGTTAACGATTTGCGGGTAGGCGCGGCGTCGCCCTTTTGAACATATCGTCAGGCATAACTGTGGACGTCACTTTTAATCTCAATGGGTTGATAGATATATACAGGATGCTTAAAAAAAATGTTAACGCTTACATGGCACTATCGTTTTGAATGGGAAAAGGACGGATAATGCACTGTAACATGATACCAAATGTATGTTAATAGCTTCAGAAAGTCAAATAGTCTCCACTTGTTCGCCGTTATTGCCAACACGTGCCTGTAATCTTCTCTAGGTGGTCTCCAGAGCCCGGAGGCACATTTCTCGTGGCATTGTTGCAAAATGTCCGAAGTGTTAACATTTTTTTGAAACACTCCGTATATTTGACTTTGTAAGGGTTTATTGGCTCTCTGATGGGGTATTTTGGTGGTGGGGGGATGGGGCGCATCTCGTGTCCAACCCGTGCACGAGTTGGACATCGTGTCGTACACGCACATCGGAGAGCTACGCAGCGCCACCCGCACCAGCGGCGTCGTCGACACGGGCTCATCGCGTATCTGACAATCAATGCCCATTAGGAGAGAACTGCTCGCAAGCAAATGCAAAACGGTCCTTTGCTCAAGTTTCTTTAAAATGTCCCCGTTTTCTTGAAGGTGTGGATTGCTCTGCCCGCTCCTTTGAAGAAGGCCCAACTGCCTGAAACGCTCAGTCCAACGTACATTGTTCCGTCGTGAGGCGGTGTTGTTGGCGAGTGTGGTGAGTCTGCAAGTTGTGCCTGGGCACCATCGCCAGCACGGCCAATAAATCTCGTTTGACGTCACTGAATATCACGACAGCGTTTAAACAACAACAACAAAACCGCTGAAAATGCACTTTTGTGAATATACACTGTCCATAGCAATCAATTTGGTTTGGTCAATTGTAGACGTAGGTGGTCACAACCGAGCTGGGTGATCCGGGAAAGCCTCAAGAGTCGAGCCGCTGCTCCTCCGGATCGAGAGGAGCCAGTCGAGGTGGTCCGTGCACCCGCTTAGGACGACTCCCCCGAGTAGACTCCGCCTGGAACTCTACCGGGCAGCAGCAACGACCCACTGGGCGAAGACCCCGTGGCAGGCCAAGCACACCCGGGCGAAACTTGGGAGGTGTGGACCGCCACTAGTCAACATGCTCCTGCCGCGACCCTCACCAGGACAAGCGGACTGAGAAACGAACGAACGAACAACGACCCTCCACCACCCGACAGAGCAAATCAGAAATCAAGCTATAACGTCACTGAGCAAATATGCTCCCAATCGATTTGGGTATTCAGCAAAACCGGAGCGAGGAAAATGTTGACAATTTTGAACAAGGTTTCGCCGGAGATTTAAACAGTGATCATTCGGTATTAACAAAAGCTGAGCTCTCTGGCAAGGAGCTGATCTACGTGGAGCTTCTTACGCATCGTACGTAGCCAACCGTGCCAATCGGTGGTGCGGATGATGAGGATGATGATGCCAGGATGTGACCTGCCGCAAAAAGTTTTACGAAATGTAAAAATCTGCTCGCTCGTTGAAAAAACAAATGAATTGGTCTATTTGCCCACACATCAGAGACTTGACATTGTACCTGCCTACACCGTCTAACCCAAAATAAACTGACTACGAATTAATTTGGGCTGGTGTTTTGTCTCTGGGTATGATATCACGCTGGGCCAAGGTGCAGGTTGCTTCGACGCTTCCCAAGAGCCCATGGGCATTCCTGTCGCATCACTGCGGGATGAATTGGGCGAGCGGATTAAGTGTACCAAGTTGCCCGATGCATTTCCCGTACATCTGTAACGCTTGCGGAATCTTTATTTAGAATCAGAATCTTCAATTAGACTGGAGGAATCCGATGAGCTATGAAGCTCTGTTTCACAGATGTCCAGTCGGGGCTGGTCAGAAAGTTACTTTGTCCCCCACCCCACCGTCCCCCACCAGCCACGACTCAGTTTTTTTAAAAGGTAAACAAATGTTGACATCTTCTTGGTTCTTTCGGTAAAGTCACGTAGACAGACTCTGTCTACTCGACAGACTTGCTCTCCACCTGAGGACGGCTGCTTGCGTTGTGGCCGAAACGTCGTGAGAATTATTTTATGTTTTATTTTTATTATTTTATTATTTCCATACTACGTGACTTTACCGAAAGAACCAAGAAGATGCATCCCTAACAGTCACGAAAGCTTTAAATCGAAATGTTGACATTACAGTGCCTCGAGTGGCTGCAGGTACAGCGACGTGATCCTAACACGCGCTTAGATGCAGGCACCGCGAGCGCAAGCGTCGATCGGTTGAATCGACGAGACCGTTGTACCCCTAAACATTCGTGACATCGGTGAATAATGGGGGGGGGGGACGTGAATCTGATGAAATCACCTATTGCTCAAATGCCGCACGAAACCGGTTACCGTAACAGCTGCAATGTGCTAACATCGATGACAAATAACGTTGAAGGTTTCCTTAATTAAAACTCGTGTTAAAGCGCCAACGTAAGTGACGTGCCTATCACTATAGCTTCACACGCCCGCCGGTCTTAACTCAAAACTTTACCGGAACGGCCGTCGGCAAGAGATAATGCAATTTGCATGCATAACATGGCTACAAAATTAGACTGTTACTAATTGAAACTGCCGTGTTACACAAAAAGCCCAACTTTTTAATCCCCCCCCAACCCAATTAAATTCCAATTGCGCTGCTGGTGTCACGTCCTGCGAAGAATAAATGTCCATTCGACCTCTCGCAGCTGACGGTGCATCACCCCGTGTTACAGAACGCGGCCACCGTCCCCCGGAAGATGATAACGCAGAACTACTTCTGACTTCACCTCACCCCGACGTCGTCATCCGCACATCAGGGTCACCACTGTTCACACGGCCCGCAACGGCTGTTAGTCGCATGTCACATTAAAAATAGCAAGCGGGCAATGCCAGCGAATACAAAGTTTAACGCTGGGGTGTTTTTTTTTTCCACGCGAGTAATTGATGACCAGGCTAAGATCATTAACGCCGCTACGCACGAAGAGAATCGGTTTAATCGCGGCGAGCAGAAACGCCAGAGTCTGACGGGAAACGTCAGTGGAGGTGGCTCGGTGTACCGACCCACCAGCCACCCGGCCACCTCAAAGAGAACCAACATCAGCCACAACCACCCTTACCACCAGGTGCAACTCTGGAAATCACGAAAAAAAATTAACTCGTGCGAGCAGCGATATAAAATAAAAAAGAAATTCAGAATGTTTCCGTCGTCCGCCAGACCAACCCAAGTGTTTTAATCCTCAAGGATCTGGAATAAGAAAACTTACGCGAGAATTCCAGTGAATATCGAGCTTGGTTGGCGGTGGCGCACGCCTGTGACCCACAACTGTGGAGGCAGCGAGGGTTGATGGATCACGTGGTGAACTTCCCTTCTTGTGGGCTCATGGGGCCATACTCTGGCTTGCCGGGAGAATGCGGCAACAGCTGAATGTGGACTCCACCTGTTCCCGTCGGTATGCGATATGAATGCTTTCCCCTGGCATCCTCCCACATGTAAATACTCCTAGATTTGAAGTTTTCGTGACTGCAAGGGTCCATACTCTTCCATAGTCACGTAGGTACCTACGTGACTTTACCGAAAAAACCAAAGAGTATGAATACTCATTCGTTGGCTGATAAAACGTGAATATAGGAAAAGAGCTTGGGCAATCGTTGGTACTGACTCATCGTGATGCCCTTCCTGTGTCAGTCTGTGGTTCAACTCACAATACAATGCGGCACTTACAAGTTGGAATTATTGTTTTTTTTACGCAGGAATTGGTGACCCGGCTAAGCCCATTAACTCATTACACTTAACAACCAGATTTGATTCTGGGATCAACGGGTAAACTATAGTTTACAGTAACAGAAGGACAACAATTCTCCCAAGTAAATAGAACGTTTATTTTGTTTGTCTTTATTTCATGTTTTGTTTCTCGTTTTCCCGCACAGCTCAAATCTCTGGTATAAATAATAAAACACGATACACATTTTCTCAGAAGACAGGCCAAACGATAAGACGGGGATGTATTAAATAGAAAAGTAACACATTTTGGGTCCATAATGCACACGTAGACCACCCAGTCTCTGCAGTAACAACACTTGAAATCGAGTTAAATGATCATTGAACCACCAGCCACATAGCAGACACACATTTGCCACAAGCAGTGCACACTATTTAATATAACCACACAATTATCAAATTCCCCACCAACCCATCGGATGGAGTACCATTATTATGCCAAACACCGATTTACAAATATATCTTCTTACCAAAGTAAACACACAAATCAGTTCTTGAAATAGTTCTTCATTTATAAGTAACGCTATGTACATACACAAACAAGAATGGCGGTGCAAAAGCACGAGGATTTGTATCCGTTAAACGTGAACCGACGTACAAAAGCAGCAGCAGCTTTCCACGGTAAAACAAAATTAAACGTGTTCAAAATATATGGCATGTAAGCGCGCTCCGGCTGCAACGCAGTCCCAAGGTCAACGTTAAGGTGGGACATCGTTTTCCTGGCGATGACACGAAGAGGCGTCACTGATCACGACGTCCACGAGAGATCAGGCCCAAGTCAATCATCTTGTTGATCGTACGCACACCTTGGGTAGTATTCAAGTGCAGGTGCTTTAGCCACACACACCTTTAGAGCGTCAACACTGTCCCTATCTCCACCTATTCAAAGCCACGCACAGACACACAGACATGGGCGACATCGACTCGGTTATTAACAAACTCAATGTTAGGTTTGCAATTTCCCTGCAACGACAAAGGCAACTGGTTCACTCTTGCAAATGCGACTCTCCTTACATCTCTCGCATTCTCACCCAGTTAAACAAAATTAACAGTTCTGCTCGCATTTATTTTGTTTAAACGGAGGATGGCCCAGCGATCCCACGCATGACCTGAACATTTAAAAAGGCTCCTTTCTTTGGCTACAGCAGAACGGCTGCGTACACATTCATTCACGTGTGCCGTCCGAAACACACTGCGACAACGGACATCGCAGGCTTCAATGGAACAAAAAGTGGCCGCGCAAGTTGCGTGATGTTTTTCGAGGAGGGATAACGCGACACCTCCTGTTTGCCTGCCCTACCCAATTAGCGGTTGCCAGTTAATTTATTGGTAAACATCGTGGGAAACGTAGCAGCAGCAGCCTTTAGTGGCCAGACTTATCACGTGAACGTATACGAATTGAAACACCGATTCTTACACACATTGCACACACGATTAGGTGTGCATTGTCAGCTGAAGAATCAACATCAATCAATGCACCCCTAGTTGTGAAACCGAACGTCACCTTTTGAAATACAAAAGAATACAACTCACGCCTGTACACGAATTCTGTGAAGCTTTTAACAGACTTCATTTGTCACTGGAAGTATTTAATTGGCGATAACATGGTTGCGTTTGTGCCAGGGGCTCAGGAAGCTATAAAAAGTAAACAAATTTTTCTTTTACCAGGTAAGGCCCACTGAGCTATGTAGCTCTTTTTGAAAAGCGACCTGGCCACAAATAATAGCTCAACGAAGTGGCTTGTCGTCGCGTGGAAATTAATAGCAGCCAAATACTCTAAACGCACGTTTACTAAATGTGCAGAGAAAAACCAGAGGACCCGGAGAAAAAACCACGCGACCATGGAGAGAACATGCAAACTCCAAAAATACAGGTGTCAAGGTCGGGATTGAACCCACGACCTCCTGTACATCAGGCAAGGGAGTTACCATCATAGCATTTTGTCCGTGGGACGCGATGAGACAACAGCGCGAGCAAATAGCGGCTCTGTCGGGCCAGATTCCTTTTCATTCATTTGTCTGATTTCCTATAGGGGAACAAGACCCTAATAGCAACACGCAACACAACTCTATAATCAGGTTTCGGACATATTGGAGGATAATCTCCACCCCCTACCCCCACCTCGTTAGAGACACAGAGACGGACAGAGCTAGCACATCGACACACTCTCAACCTTAATTGTAAAGCGAAATTAAACCCACACTTGAGAAGTTCGTATATTTTGGCCAGATTCCTTATTGAAAGTTGTTGAACGCCAACGTTTTGTGACTTGCCAGCGTTGAGAGACAAGCACAGCGTGCATCATTGCACATCGTTAGGTTTTCACGCGCGCACACGTATTGGCTGCCAGATTTGTTGCCAGGCACGTGGAGCGAAAAGACGGACATCGTCACACCCAACACAGCAAAACCAAAAAACGCATCGGACCACGTGATGCGCACGATCCGTACGATTTTAATAGCGATGCTGTGAAATGTTATTCAAATTGCTCGCATATGTCTCGGTAATAACTGCACAATGAGCTTTGACTCAATAAAACGCTCGCGCCGTGGGCAGGTCATTGCATAAAGTCACCGGCAGTGTTCACATTGAAACGCAACTTTGGTATTAAACATTCTGCACTCTTTGTGCCGCTAACGTTGGGCGTGATTATTCAACTTTAACGAGAACAAGGTGGTCGCTAAAAAAACAGCTCGCGTATTAATTTTCATGGAGAATGTAAATCATCATCATCATCACCATCATCCTCCTCCTCCTCAAAACAACGTATACATACTCTCTGGTTCTTTCGGTAAAGTCACGTAGAAAGAACGTGACGTGAAAGGTATTCGATTATTTAATTTCATTTCTTTCTACGTGACTTTACCGAATGAACCAAAGAGTAATTCCTGCAGTCACGAAAGCTTCGAATCTAACGTATACATATTATACACAGGCAGGCACACCATACGTACGGGTCAGCCAAAACATTTTAAGAACGTATTGAATTATGCAGCCACGATTGGATTATGCGACATTATTACCGTTTACAATCATTACTCAATTTTTTTTATTGCTTTAAAACATTAGAAAACTACGGTGAGTCATTTGTGTCTCATATTCTGTTCTTAAAACTTTTGTTGAGCCTCGTGTACGCGGTACATACTCGGGTTCGTAGCGAAGCGCACTAACCGCTACACTATTGCTCCCCACAAACACACACACGTACACACAAACGGTGTACGTGAGTGTGTTAATTTTCAAGCGTGACACAAGCAAAAGGTATCATGGCCACGATCGCAATCGTACAAGTCTTATTTTGAAACACAAGGTGTCCGTAAAGGTCTCAACATCCATTACCAAAGACTTATAATGAGATGGAAGTTTGAGCCAAGCCACTAACACACGACACGCAAGCACTTGGTAGTGTGCAGATATTGAACGTGTCTCATCCCACATACCGCAAAAGCATCTCGGCAGCGATTGTTTCCAAGCTTTTGCAGTTTCGAAAAACGTAAGCAGCAAATGTTTTCGTGTTCTACATCACGTCACCCGTCGTTCGTGAAAATCGCATCTCACAACCGCCGCATTTTTAGATGTTTTCAGCCAATGCATGAGTGCGTATACATACAGGGATATAATAAAATACACTGCTAACATTGCAACCGCCCAGTTCAAGCAGCCAGCTCTTGATCATTTCGTTATTGAGTGGACAGAGGTGACAAAATTTGAGACAAGACAAACACATGTAAAAGAGGATCTACAAACATTATTGTTTACCTACATAGAATGGGGGTGGGCAGGGGCGTGAGGTTGTAAAATGCGACGTCTGGTTTCATTGCTTCTTAAAGTCATCATCGTTATACTTGCTCACGCGTGAGCGGTCACGTGGGGCGATCCCCAGTCGCCAACCCCCGACGAGTGAGGAGCGGCTCATCAATTAGCCACGTGGAGGTAATGTATCGGATTTTTATCGTCTGTCCACTACCCGGATAATCCGCTCTCACGGACCATGCAGAGTGAAATATAATACTCGAATAATTAATTGACAGCAGCACGGACACCTTCTAAGGTGGGGGCCGGGGGGCGGGTGCTTGCTGGACTATGCACCCTGCTGCTGTAGCAGAGGTCGCAAACGGCTTTTGATTCCTTACCCGTAGCCGGCCGCACCAGGGTTGAAAACGGGTACCCGTTTGCGACCTCTGGGATGAAGCCATGTTGCAGGCGTGGGTGGGTTGATTCTAGAATTTGAATTGTGAGAACAGCCAAGATGTTGGGAAATGAGTGACAAACGGTGACTCACCAGTGACTCACGGCCTACCCGTACCCGGCTGGGTACGGGTAGCCGGGTATCGGGTAGGGTACAGGTATCGGGTACCCGGTTGCGACCTCTGGCTGTAGGGACGTGGCATTTAAGTCGCCGTCGTCGCCGGCTTGGCTTTAACGCTGCGTGCCGCACAACGCGAGACGCTCGGCTCTCGTTCGTGACCACAATCGGCACGGACGGCGGGCTGAAACGGCGGTGGACATTTACCAGTTACACAGCTAGAGAGGCCCACCGCCACAGGCAGGCTTGGTGCGCAACAATGCACGCGCTTTATGCGTGCACACAAAGACACCGGAACATTCCGATTTTGTTTGGCATTCCGCAAAAAAACAACCATCACGTACGCCACTAAGAACGACGACTAAAAAACCGCGGCCGTGTAATATTTTGCTCTAACAATGCTATTTTAAGGACGGTGATTATTTCTGAGCGAGTTTGTTTCTTAAGGTACAACAGGCACTTGTTTGCGACTTGTAATTTCCAACGGGAGCATCCGTCTATTCTGAGACCTTGGCTCTCGCGCAGAGCCAATGGGGGAATTGAGATAACGGCAAACGATGAAAGATTGGGTTACTTGGTACCTATTGGGGCATTCGCATCGATTTTTTTTTCACCACTTAAACCGAATACAGCCAGGAAACTGTGAGCGTAGAGCTATGCTTCATCTCCGAGCGGTGTAACTACATCGATTTGCGCTCTGACATTGCACGCATGCAGAGTGACTTGGTCATAGGCAACAACTGAATGGCAGAATATAAATATCTGTACAAACGATACAAACAACGTAACAGACGCTCTATGTAAAAATGTCGTTGCCCAAAGAAGCAGAGCGTGGAACATTAACAGGCATGTGAAACGGCTGCATGAATACGTACGTGCCAAATAAATAAAACGGAACCAATATCTCGTTTAGCTTTGTATTGTGGCACGGTGACTTACACAACTGGTGAGCTGTTCTCCATATGTCCATACATGTGAATACACTGGTCCCGCATACAAAGGTTCCATAACAAAGCAATCGTGAATGCTACAAAAGTTGCTTTTATCCACATACGCGAGAGCGCTCAATGCCACAGACGCATCGAAGAACGTGAAAGCTGGCACGGCCGTGTCTCCCAATGCCAGATTTGTCAGTTCTCCTGTGTCCTGTTAAGTCTGGGAGGAGGCTTAGATGGATTTTGTTCAAAACAAAGCATAAAAAATTGTTGTAAAATGACGTATACAGCAGTTTGTGAGTCAAGAGCAGCGATCAAACATTGATTGCTTCTCCTATCTTGGTCCCTTGGCGGTTATGAACTCCAATGAGCGCATTTTGATGAAAACTTACCATCGACATCCCAGCCGGTAGTTACCCAGCTCTTGGCTGAGCTCAACGTTGCACAGCACCCGACGCATTCCCCCTCACCCTTAAAATCCAGCTGACCACCACTTGGGTGAACGTTACTCCTACCGTCACCAATTTCGCAGGCCACGTGGGTAGTGCAAAAGGGATTGTAACCGTAAAGTAAACAGTTCAATATCTGCCCAGGGACAAACACAGCTTGCAATAGCAGTGGTTGTGCCGGTGGTGGCGGTTGTGGCAGCTGTAGTGGTGTTGGTGGCTGTGATAGCGATGATCCTGATAGTAGTGATGCTAGGCAGCGATCGCGATGGGGAAAATTACGGCGTTATAAGAAGTGGTTGTGGTGGACGGGTTGGTGACAGTAGCAGTGGCAGGGATGCTGGGCGTGGTAGAGATATAATTGATGGTGGTAATGTTGGTGACAGTAGCATTGGCAGGGATGGTGGCAGTGATGGCAATACAACTGATGTGGTTGGGGTGGTGGTAACAGTAGTGGCAATGGTCGTGGTGGTGGTGGTGGCGATGACGGTTCTAAAACTGTGGTAGGAGGAGCGGTGGTGACAAAAGTGAAAATGGTTGTAGTGGTGGTGGTGATGAGAGTTTTATTGATGCGACAAAGTGTGGTGGTAGTGATAGTGGTGGCAGTGTTAGTAGCAGTGGCTGCGATGACGGTGGCGATGGCTGTCCTATTGACGCAGCAGGAGTGGTTGGAGTGGCGGTGGTGATAGTCCTGACGGTTAGGCGTTGGTGACACTGGCCAATAGTAACAATGACGTTACTATTGGCCGCGCGGGCTGACCAATCAGAGTTCTCCTTACAAGGCCTTCCCGGTTCCGGCTGAGGCAGCGTGGGCGGAGGTGTGGCGCGGGATCCGGCCGTAGTGAAACACCTGTCCCAAGATCGCCATGTCCACGAACACCTGCATCAGGCCGCACACCCAGAACTGTGGCGGCGCTTCGCGCGCCAGGAAGTACACCGTCTTGAACGTGTCGCCGCTCGTCCACATCAGCACCATCACCACGCTGCCAGCGTGCGAGGTGACGAGGGCAAGGGGTTGGGAGGGAAGGGGGAAGGGGAAACAAGAAGAAACCAGGTGGTGACAGAGTGGTGGTAAAAATACAAACAACATTAAACTAGTTTGGGGAATTCATGCATACTCAATCATGGGTTATGTAATCTTGCCAACACGCGTTTGTCTCCGGAGGTACGTCGTTAGCTTTATAGAAGCCCACTGCCGTCAGGGCAATGGGCGGTCTGAATGTTGGCCAACGGTCTGTCCTTTTTGTTCTGTTTGGGTCTCCATGTTTACCGGTGCACTCTGATGAATTTGGCCGCATTGGAAGTCGGTAGGTCCCGAACAGCAACAACTTCACACTACAAGTTAATTCATTCTGGATCATCCATTTGCAGTTAAGAGTGCCCTCTCCATCACCGTTGAGAACAGACAGAGCTAATGCACTGCCGCTTTCAACCTTGGCTGGAAAGCGCTAAATAAAAGGGTTGTGTGAGCGAGGTAGATCGATCATGTCATTTATGTTTTCAGGAAACCCTCACAATCTGAAAATGCATTTTCAGGGAGAGAGGGGTCTTGCAATAAGGATGTTTGGTAAATTCCATTCATATGCATTTTTGTGTGCTGGAGGAAACCAGGTGTCCTTAAGCATTTGCAAAAATCAGGATTGTGTCCCAGTTTAATATGTTCCACCCTCTCCCCATACTGACTCATGATATCGAGAGAGGGTGCAGACTGATGAACAGGAGGCGGAGCCGACATCAGATAGTGATGGTGTGGGCGTGGCTATGTGAAAGTGGGCAGGGCTGATAGCGGGAACGGCTGCCTGCCCACCACGTGTTCTTGGTTGAGCCTCCAGGAAGTGTCGTAGCTTTTAACCGAAAGCGGCCCCAAAGCGCCACGTTTACAGGAGCCTGGTAAGTGCCGCCGCATATGCACCGCGAGTCCGACAGTGTCGATCACCCATTAATCTAAGTGCCCGAGCGTGTTCAGGGCATCACCAAGGCTCACAGGATGTAAGAAATGCCCTCCCCAAAGGCAAAGAGGCTTTTAAGGCTGCTTTCAACAGAATTCCAAAACGCGCACAAGCACCCAATGCTTATCAAACACTTTGTGACGCTTCGTGAAACCAAAACCCACCCCAAAAATTGCTCCAACCTCAATGTGAATGCGCGACGACCGGTCATGGGTTTTACCCGCTCACGTGAAAAACATTTAAAACCGGACAACTGCGCAAAATATACAGAAAAAAAACAGCACGTAGCTGCTGTGAGTATACCGGCCTAAAATAAACACCTGGGGTGTTTCTATTCATAGCCCTATGGGAGACAACAACCGCATTCGGTGTTTGCGCTGCTGGCAACGAACTACGGCAACGGCGATTCATTTCTAAATGCAATCCCTGAGATGTGTAATTACGAACAACCCCCCCCCCCCACCTAAAATATTAACGCATTCAAAGTTGTGATTCTGGCAGTAAACACCTTCTCCGTAACGTCACTAAACTTCCGCTGATTACATTTAACCTCTTCAGTGTGCAGAGATGAGATTCAACATTCTGGAGAACTTCATTTGGTGCACGGTCTAGAGTCAACAAATATTTACCCCAACAGATTCCTGGATTATTTTAAATAAACCCCAATTTCATGACTGGACAAAAGCACGACAAGCCTCGGCGTGCCGTGTTTTTCCCCGAGGCCAGGCTGAGTTCTGTTTTTGTAAGTGAACGGTAATGGCCACTGCGCACCACAAAATACTGGACGGTACTGCACGCGCATTGTTTCCACGAACGCAATTTCATTACTCGATAAAAAGCACTTTGAGACTTAGCGCCGCGACTCTGCTAGCAAAAGCAGTGGGCGCTTCTGCGTCCGTGAGCAAGCAGACATTGGTATTGTGCGCTGCAAATGCTCGTTTAAAACTGCACGGTGAAAATATATAGATTTAATAATGTAACGTTTTTTTTTTTACCCAAAACTTTTTTTCTGGCGAGTCCTGCATTGGGATGTTCGGCCAATTACATTAATGAGTGTTTGGCTTCATGTGGCAGGATTCTGGAGTACCCAGAGAAAACCATGCATTAGATGGCATTAAATGTTTAACATTGAACAGTTGGCATCTCCCTCCTTGTCAACTCGCAGCACCCACACTTACAACACCCGGGCAAGCTCTTGGTGGATCACCGATGCACTAACCAGTAATGGTGCCACATTCACCACAACCCCCAGAGCAGTTCCATGTATTGTTACGATTTAATTCAAGAATTCGTGTTTTTCCCGCATCGTGGTGGATAGTAGCGCCACTAGTTTAGGCGGTCAGGCTTACTCGGTGGTCAGATTTATTAGTTGGTCAGGATTATTAGGTGGTCCATAGTTTGCATTGCCACATTCGCAGTGGGGCTTGTGTTAAATTTTCTCCTGCAACGTGCCCACCTGTTACGCGTTTTCATGCGACCTTAAACACAACTAATACCACCATCGAGGTGAAATGGACGTCACTAATTTGAATCCAGATACGATCGGCATTCAGAGCGGCTCGGTCGTATGAATGCGCGAGCACGCAGCAAGTACCACGCCGCCTATCCAGACCGCGTTCGACAGCGACGACTTTGCTGCATTAGTTGGCAGAGCGGCTGGAATGTACTCGGCGCATTAAATATGCGGTATGTCCTCGCGTTTGTCGCCGTAACGCGGTTCTTCCGTTCAGGAGCACTCTTCCCACAACACAGAACGCGCACTCCGTCGTAGCATAGTTTCTGAGCGGTCGACGACCAACTACTTTCTTGAGCTGCACAGCTGAACGGTACAGTGGTACGGTACGCGGTAAGACACGGTAACGTGGTGGTGTACCCTCAAGTTATTTGTCACGCCATCTTTCTGCGTGTGCGCGCAGGACACAGAATCTCGACAAACTTTCTCGCCCAAGGCGTTTTTCGCTTAACGCGACATTTTTTGGGACCGCATCTACCGCGTAAAACGAGGATTCGCTGTATATGTATAAAATAAAATGAGCACTGCGACTCGCCATCACCTGAGCAAGTGATACGTTAGCAAGTCTGGAAAAACACGATCCTGAGCTCACGACACGTCTGTCTGCACACTCATCGTTTTATAACAGGAACATCGTGTGCTCTGGGAAGGCGGCCACCGACCGAAGTGTCGCTTGCGGTGTATTCTTCCTCGTGGGGGCGGAGTTGTTGATGAATGTGTTGGAGATCTTTGTTATTTGCGCTTGTGCACCACTGCCAACGCGGCATCGCGAACATACATTTTTTTAAGGCAAGGGCGGGGGAAGCAATGTCTTCTTGTATGCACGTGTTTTCTCTTAGCATTGTGGTTTCATACCACACCAAAAGGAAACGCTCGCTAATGGAATTGGCCAAACATCCAAATGCAGGACCCTGTTCAAAAATAATCTGAAGACTGGGTGACGCTCTCGCCTCGATAAATGGCACCATTTACACATAATAAGCTGAAAATCACTTCTATATTTTTTTAATACCCTGTTGATCAGTTGCAACAGACAGGTGACTGAATAACGGTGCCTAGCAGATGAGCTCGCGGCGTCACACAGTAACCGCGACCTCAAACAACAGCGCATTAGGCTGACCGCTCATCGCATTGTGTGTCCACTGCTGCCCATTATTGCATGGCACTTAGGCACAGCAAACCTCTCCGATCTGCCCAGGATCACGCCTGCCCAGCCGGTTCCATTCGCGTTCATCGGTGACTCTCGCCACGCGACACGGACACGACTCATACGACCGAATCCACGCGTGGCCAACGGGGGACAGGACATCGCACTATTAGGGCTGCCAATTTACTTCTTTTAGCATTATCAGTAATTGCGTGCACAACAAAAAAATTACGAGAAAAATCAATTGTCAGTTGGTCGCACAGCAGCGATGGAAATGTCTAACAATAAAGAGAAAAATTCTAGCCCCGCTGTGTCCATTGAATCGTACTATGCGGTGCATGATGGCGAGTGTGCATTATCAGAATCAGAATATTTATTTTCCTGGAGGAGTCCGATTAGCTATAAAGCTATTTTCCACAAATGTCCATTATGATGGTAGCCGCTGACCAATCACATTTGAGCGCGCCGTGCGGTTTGAACGTTCAGTTGTGTTCATTAGTCACAAACTGAACTGCATTTGATTACCGATTCTGTAACTTTGCAAATCAATTACCGATTCAGAAAATAAAAAAGCCCTAGACATGATCGATATAACTGTATTTTGAATGCTAACCGTGACCACAAGACAAATAAATTAACTGTGAGGCCAGATCACTGTAGGTCAGTGTTAAATAGACGCTAGGGAGGCGCTAGATAGGCGCCCACGTGCGGATGGAGCAAAAGTGTGTGCCTGTTCAACAACCTTCACCTCAATTGAAATGGATTCCTTGGCCTTTTAACAGATCCCTGATATACTCCAGACCCACTAATACAAGCTGTGGCCCTGGTGAGGGGCCCCTGATATTGCAGATAACTGCCACCCAATCCCCATAACCGCCCGACGATTTGATCAATTGAAGCAAGCTGCTTTGAGATTAGATTGTTTTGTGTTTTACATAGCAGTGAATGGCAGCACCCCCCCCCCCCCCAGATGGCTGTAGGGGTCACACAGTACATAACTTAATAAACACCCACGCACAACCCACCGCACTATCGTGAAATTGAGATTCCATCTTAATAAGCTAATCCACGTGAGATTGCCCCACGAATATGAATACAAACCTCACAGCTCACCCGTGGAAAATTTTACACGGTTGTATTTTTAGCTTTTACCGGAAACACTTGAGGGGAAGGGACGTGCGAGTACAAAATGAGCGCCAGTCCGTAATTTGCACAGGCAGCGAAAATAGAGCGGTTTAACTCCCCCTCTCTCTTGGCCACCGCTTCATCCGTCCAGTCTCTCGCATCGACACTTCTGGTGGGGGGGGGGGGGGGGTCAAATCGAAGCGGAGCTATCGTTTCAACACGAGAGCGTTCCTCTCTTGAGGGCAACGTGGTGCTTGTCGCCACTCCGACGGAAAAGGGGGCAATGACAAACGACGCGGCGTCATTATGGCAACGCGTCGCAACGACGCGCCAGGGCGACGCTTCGCATGCGCAACAATGACGAACCAGCCGGGTGCATCGGCGATGGAGCGAGCGGCCCGCTATGACAAGGTTGCCAGTTCAAACTCTGGTTGGGGCGTTCACCCATCTATCGTTAGGAAGCCACCGGAGCTTTGTACTTTTGAATCTAGATTTTAAACTGTCTTTAGAGCTGCTTTTTGCGTTTAGTTTGTCCTTCCGTCCAGCACCTTCAATTAGCACGGCAGGCTACGTATGGTGCGAAAAAGTTAAACATTCATACATACACCCAGCCCAGCATCAAAAAATGAAGGCCACTTTGTAAGTGGTCGTCCTATGGATAGATTTGCTCCTGCCATAGGAATTAGGAATTTCCACCACTGGCTCAGAGCTGTACATAGGGAGTGAGTACTGCCTGAATGCTCATTTAAGAAGGAAATCCCAGTATAATAAGTTTGTATACTGCACAGTGTTACCATTTGTCTTCAACAGGGCCCCATTGTTTAGATGAAGCACCCTTGCCAATAACATCTGGAAACCCAGCAGCATTTATTTAACACGTCTGATTTGAGCTGATGAAATGTAGATGGTTGAATCCAGTGGAGGAGCGTTTGCTAGCTTAAATAAATGCTGCTGGATGATATTGGTGTGAAAAGACAATCGGCCAACAGACATTATGTTTATATTATTCGTATGTGGATGCATCGAACGGAGTTCCACAACGGTGCATAAAGAGAGTGCTATGAAAATGAGATGAACGTTCGAGATGAATGTTCGTCAGAAGCGCTGGTCATGGATGGGACGTTTGGACTTAATGACAAAGGCAGAAAGCTAAAAAAGTGGGTCAGTTATTGAATACGATAAATCCTGGAGTTTGCATTTTTTCTATTTTAAGGCCAAGTTTAGACGCGATTTTTCACACTGGGAAGAGCCAAGGTGTCAGTTACCCGGCACTTTAAACAATTAATAAATTCATTAATCACTACTGTGTCACTTCTTTCCTATTTTCAGATCTACACTCAGCAGTAGAAATATAAAAACTGCAGCCGATTGTCTTTACATATAACGAATGAACGATGGGAATCGTAATTGTGTTAAACATACAAAATATTTAATCGTCCAAACGGGACAATATAATTTGAGCAAAAATTTTAATTCGTCTCCATTATGCGTATTACTGCTTTGCTTGCGACAGCAAGCTCTGTGAGCACTATTTTCTTCGATGAACACACAGGAGTATGCACTCAACTCACGTGCCTCTCTGGCCTGCGCTTGTTGATATTTGTGCTCAATCTTTCACCGTTCGGCACAGAATTGCCAGAGCCATTTGCAAATGACATCAATTGTTTCCGAATAGACGCAGGTAAACAGATTGACCTATTTGCAGAGATGAGAACACAGATCTCATTTGGGGATATCCAGATGTGCCACAAGCCATGTCAGAGCCATTACGGTTATTGAGGACATCAAAAAGAATTCTACATTTCACCTGACTTCGGGGGCAAGGGTTGTGATGGATGTGGTGCAGGGTTGCCACAAACCTCCTTTGGTTTGAGAATTAAAGTCATTATAATGCACTTGTCAGGTGTTTGTTTTTATTTTATATTAATATGTTTAGATACGCAGGGTCTAACAAAGCTTTTGCTGCAGTGCCCCCAAGAAAAGGGAATTAATTCCCTCGGGGATTTTAATAAAATATTGAGATGATCTGTGCATCAAAGCCTTTACCGGAACTGTCCTGTGCTACACTTATTAAGTTTGCCCTTACGGCTCGGGCTTTGATGCTGACGAAGCTGACCGAATTAAACTGCTACGAGGAGAGATCACACCGGGAGGAGCCACCAGAGTGATTTCTCGCTAAAATGATCAAGGCGGTGGGAATTCCACATTCATACGGCAGGGGACCAGCTCACCCTCAAGACAACCACTAGACTTCCCCGCAAAGTGGTGATCATTCTATGGACCGTGAAGGGATAATGTGTTGAGTCAACTTCTAACCAGAATTTTTTTTCGCGATCTGCTAATTGCAATCTTCTTAGCCACCTGGCCGGATAAGTGGGTGCTGCCAGTCCATTGGGGTCGTCACATAGATCGATGGATACATTTTAATTTATTTCAGCAAAAAAATAACTGCTAAGTTCTATCTCATGGGTTCCTGCAACGGTACAGATGTTTTACAGTGACTACAAACACAATTGTATCACAGTTGTGTTAATATATAAAGTCAATAAACTCATAACAATTACAAGTATTTAAGTGCAATTAGAACGATGGGCTCTCAATGTTTATTAGGATATGAAATTGAGCTGACACGGTATGTGGTTTACTCCTGGGGCAGACCTATATCTTCCACCAAAGTATTATAGGCTTATTTACTCAGGAGGGCCCTGCGAACTTGTCACACAGTAGGGGGTGCAATCACTGCTATGTATAATCCCAAATGAGTCGGCCGGTGTTTCATCGTAGAAGTCGTGCGGCCTAGCTACCGCCACCATCTAGAGCCTTTGTCACCGCTCGTGCCGCCGTCCCAGGAAAAGCCTCACCGAGTCTCATGGCTCTTTCTCAGGAGGGTCCTGCCAAGTCGTGCTGCGGTTCTGCCTATGCCTACTAAAGCCACGCACCTCATGCCCTCGGTAGAGCGATTGCGGTAGTTGCGGTAGAGCTGCGGCGTGCCGAGCATGGCCTCGGAGAACGTCGCCAGGAAGCCCAGGGCCTCAACGTACGCAGCCAGGTCGAGCAGCGCGAAGGTGGCGCCCGCTGCCAGCAGCGAGAACGCCGCCACGAACTGGAGGTAGTCGAGGAAGCGGCTCCACTGCCAGAAGTAGCGCAGGTCGAGGTCTGCGTGCGGGGAGGGCGGTGAAACGCACGGTGGAAGTGAGACTACAGGCGGTGCCCGGGGCCGCCCTTCGAACGCTCGTGCGGAGACGTCCGGACGATGCCTCCGCTGCCACGGTAGAACATCAGCTCACTCGGTTGGGAAGTATTCTCGGCAATCGTCGGGCTTCTACTGCAAAAAACTTGGCAGGAACCTCCCCGAAAGAGAGCCGTGACACTCGCTGAGGCTTTCCTAAATAAAAAGCGTAGTGATACTAAGAATAACAATTCAAACGTAAAAAATTATGGTGAAAAATATTGATTTTTTTTTATTAATCAAGATGACATCAACATATCATGTATGTTGGAACATAAGAGTCAGCGCACATTGTCAAAGACAACTCTGCAAGGGGCAGCATACATTTGACGATGAGGACAAGGATGATATCCCAGTGCTGCTGGTAATGACGACGATGATGATGCAAATCTAGAAATATTTAAAAACACCAGGGGTGATGACGGCAAGGATGACGCGCATGACAATGATGATGATGATGGCTGGGCCATGCAATTGTCAAAAATGAAGATGCGTACATAATACATTTAACAACTGCAAATATGACAATGACGGTAATGATGGAGATGACAATGCTAAAGATGAAGACCGATGATGGCGATTATGGCGATTGTTGTGCCGAGGTCTACGCCGCTCCTCAATGTGCGGAGTGAAGTCGGCTGGGTGGGGGGGTATTGCGATGGTCGTTAAAATGGATTAATTTAGAACTGCGCGTTAGCAAGAGTAGAATGCTGGCTCTGGATCGCCGTCGTTCATAACCCTCCTGCTGCATCATTTATTTGGCCGCTGCCATGCAGACGGCTTTATGAGTTGAGTTTTGGCGGCTCGCATTCAGCCGACCCAAGGCACACATCACTCTTTGTGGCCACACGGCACCAAGTCCAGCGTGCGGATAGAGGAACACGAGCAACTCCGTGTCCTGGAAGCATCGCGTGAAAGATTCGGTGCCTTTGGGTTTTCGTGTCTGCTCAGTTAACGACCTCTTGCGAAACGGCTGATGGGTTGGTGGATACGAAAGTGAAAAAATACCACTGCGGTAGTGCCGTGAAGCTGACCGGTGTCAATTAAAGTTGTACCACATATTGTTGGGCACAATGTTCGACGTTTCGCTCCACTTGCTGAGAGCATCTTCAGGAACTGAATCGAGCAGCAACGTGAACCAGAAAAACCAACATCGGCCGGCTATGCAATATTTACCCTAGGGAGAGCACCAGCTGCTCACAGTTCAATTCCTGCAAAAGCTCAGAGCACATGGAGCGAAACACAGGGACGCCACGGTGAAGTGCTGAGCTTTTGTTAAACGCCTAATGTCGCTGGTTGTAATCTCCAGTGAAACGTCAAATAAAACTGTCAAAATGTTGTTTGCTTTTCATAACTCCCGTTTTGCTGATATAACAAATCAATTAATTTGTTTGCCCATGACGTGATAAATTGATTGGCTCCGGCAGGTGGTGGAGGGTTAAACTAAACAAAGTTGACATTATACTCTGCACGATCTAACCCAAAAGAAACCCATTAGAGCCAAAGGACGAACGCTAACTCAGTCGTCCGTGACAGTCCTCTGAAAGTTCATCCTTGAAAGAAGTGACTGTCTGGTTCAACTGCACTTCTGTTCGACAGAGAGTCACGGAAGCAAAAGCGAGGGGGGGACGAACAATGTGTGCCCCCAGAGGATGATGAGAATTGAGGACGGTGGCGCCATGGCATGCCACTCTCCAGACAAGTTCGGAGGAGTGAAGAACGGTTTGCGATGGTTTCTGCGTGACCGTGCGGGTGGGCGATCCTCTGGCCGATGAGACAGGCCCTCCCCGTCCTCCGTATCAATCATCGCGACGGAGTTGGGGGAGCGGGACAGGGGATGGAGGGCAGTCGTGGGGTGGGGGGTTGGTTACTATTACGAAAAAAATGCAGTCGCAGAAAATTTGAATGAAGGTGTAAAAACACTCAAAATGAATAACATCACTGCAGAGACATAATGAAGGAAAGGTTCATTGAGTCCTTGACTTGGTTCTTAAACTGCTAAAGTTTGCACAAATTCCAGGGAAAGACAATTCATTTCACTCATAAGTCAGCTGCTAAATTAACGATCCACAGATTTGAAGTTTTCGTGACTGCAAGGATTCATACAGTTTTTTTCGGTAAAGTCACGTAGGTAAAAAATTAAGCACTGTGCTTTCGCTAAGTTGTCCCCACCTGAAGAAGGACGCTTGTGTTGCGCCTGAAACGTCGTGATTAATTTAGTTAAATTTTTTACCTACGTGAATTTACCGAAAAAACCAAAGAGTATAACGATCCACAGTTTGGTAAAACGTGAGTAGCCCGGGAAGAGTTGACAGAGCCCTGGCTGCTGCCTCATCCTCTCTCACTGCGCTCCGCCAACCAAGGCCTTTCCTTTTAAATTTGCACGTGATAAGCCACTTCCGTTGAGCTATCATTTGTGGCCAGGTCACTTCTCAAAAGCTAATAGCTTCGTGGGCTTTACCTGGTAAGATAAAAAAAATAGTGCAGTTTTATTTGTATATTTTTTGTAAGTGATTTGTTTATCTTTCCTATACTTTGCACTCCGATTGTGTTTTTGTATAGCTTGTTGTTTGTGACGCTCTGACCCCGTGCCCCTACTGGACATCTGGCAAAGCCTCCAGTCAACCGTCGTCCAAGTGTGATGTCGCTCAGTCCCCTCTGCTGTCCCCACGTCCGAAACTCTCCTCCCCCAGCTGCATGTGCTGTCGACTCCCCCCCCCCCCCCCCCCCGTTCAAATCCAAGCTGGAGGCCTTCTTTTTTTGTTCGGTAAAGTCACGTAGCCTGTGTCTCTACAGATGCAGTACGTTGCATTTAAACTTTATGAATGTGAATTACACGTTATAGAGAGCGCCGACACACTTCACTATTTCAGCGCTACAGGCATGCAAATCCTGAAGCTTACAGAAGACAGAGGCCCAGTCACTTCCTTTTCACAGAAAACGTAGTAGTACTTTCACAGATAAGAACTTAAATTATTAAATTATTATAGCATTATACTCTTAAGTTAAGACTAAAAACTGCTCGTACGTCAATTCAAAACTGTTCACGTACATTTTCATCAAAATTCCCAGTATTTCAGAGGTAGCTCTGCAATGTCCATTTCCGTGGGCCGTTCTCGAACACTGCACTGCTCCACGGTAAATGCGAATGGATACGTTGTCCACATGACACAATGGCGATTGCACCAACAGGCAAATATTGACTTATGTGCAACTTTTCTCAGGACCCCAGTGTAAAATGTAATCTCCAACTGAACATCAGCCAATCTCTACCCTTTCTCTCACTGCTCTGGATAGGGGTAACTACCTGCAACATTAACCAATTGTATATTTTGCAGTTATTAGGCAGCATTCGTAACAACGTGGGGGATGGCTTTAATTCAAGCACTGAGACGACAAGAGCGTGGATCATGGTGCCACCTAGTGTATGAAACAATGCACAGGAACATTCCACCCGTTTTATCAAAACGCAGTTAATAATTTACAACCCATTTGTAAACGCACTGCTGGACTGGAAAAAGACCTCACACATCACTGCACCGTAGGGGTTGTTTGCCCATAGCTCATCGCGATGAAGAAAAATGTGCAGTGCTTATTCGTGCAAGTTGAGTAACTCCTCGCTAGATCCCAGTGGGGTATAATTTTCAATCAACCTTCCAGCATCAACATACTGGGTTATGCTTTTGCTTTCACAGTCGTCTCCTGCCTAGAGCTATGTTTAAATTTACATGATCTAATTCATCATATTTAGCTAAATGCACATTAGCTCAGGGAGGCACAGGACCGGTTCAGATATCACTTACACAATGTTAGCCATTGGCGGGAAAGCAATTCAGGTCACCGGGTTCATAGCGCATTGCCTTAACCACAGCGCCACCACTCCCCACCAGTTCATACGTTATATAAATCCCATGTGCCCTCAAAGAAGCAGTTCAGTCACCATTGAATGACTGTACAAAAGAATCACATTATATTTTGTGCCACACTTACTTTGACTAAATTGCAGCTCTGAAAATTTAAATATGGGTTTGACTCCCATGAATTAAAATGCAGAGCCTGTGGGGAAAATGCATCCCTCCACTGTTTGGACCAGAGGTTAAATTAAGGGATTTTGGAGGAAACTCTTGAGATATTTGTTTCTCTGGGCCGTTCTACAACAGGAAGGGATGCATTGTTGCATGTGAGAGACCTGAATGGATATTTGGTCTCATGACATGATGCCAGATAATGCGAAGGGGATACAATTTGGAGCAAGTGGCGATATTTAAAAAGAGGCATTGTTCAGGAACACTGTACGCACGCCATTAAATTATCAGAAGGCAAGAACAGTGCAAACATCATTGAAGGACCTTTGGAATTGTCTCAACAGAAACAGCAATGGCCCTTTGTTCAAATATTTGTGCCAGGTGGTGTGTGGTTGCAGCAAGCGATAAAATATAGATTTTTAAAAATGTTCACTCCGTGTGATTTACGACGTGAAGATTCCACAGTAAATGTAACAGCTCACACAAGTCGGCCTAGGCTACGTGTTCAGTGCCGTCCAACACGTTTGGAATGTTTGGCAATCAAACAAAAATACTGCACAATGATAACTCTCATCACACGTTGTCTTGGAAGATTATGGGAATAATAAAATAAAATCTCATCGTGTATAATTTTTTGAGATTTTTTTTTTTTGCGACTGGAAAACTTTGCTCCAGGTCAACAAAGCACCCCCCCCGTACATTTATGTGCATACAAGCGCTGCCAAGATCGAGAAGAAGGTGTGCGGACATTTTATACGAGAATAATTTATTTTTAGGTTGGGGAGGTCATGCGAACTAAAAGCGCTCGTAACGTGCTCTCTCTCCGCAAGTCTCTCGATGATAAGAGACACACACACACACAAAAAAGGCATGCGGTACCCACCGAGGAAGGCTCTCGAGCGTGGAAATACTAGTGAATCCAAATTACCGTCTGCCGGCATGCAAAAGACAACACGCGGAAACGGCTACACACAGCGGTTGTCATGGAGTGGGCCAGCAAACTCTGGAGAGCAACGGGCAATTAAACAACGATAATTATCACAACACTCGTACAGAGCGAGACCACGTGCGCACGAAAAACATCGGGAACAACGATCGCTCCGTTCAGACCCGTCGCGCGACTGCCAACAGGTTCACAAGCACTGGTACACACACACACATTATATTGCGTATCAGATTTCACCTCTGATACATGATACAGTGATATAATGAAGCTATTACAATGTAATGGGGTGGATTATTCAGCTGATAGGATTACAGCAGAAATAGCCTAAAATAGATACCCATGTTATTACGGTTGTTTGACCGTACTTCATCATGCCGATCGGTGTGGGTTGGGGAAGTGGGGATAGGGAGACGCAGGACCTGTTCACATATCACTCGCCACTGATGTTAGCTATAGCCGAGAATCGAACTCGGGTCGCCGGGTTTGTAGTGCAGTGCACGAACCATTACGCTGCTGCCCCTCCTCTAAAGAATCACCAAGGTGGCAATTGAGAGATCCTGATAAAATGATGGGGCCCAATAACTTGTGCAGGCAAGTACAAATGCAGCTGTAGAAGGGACACAGAGAACCTATAGTTTATCTGGTGATGAATTCCCCCTCATCTAATGACACTATTCCCTGAAACTTGCAAATGAAGTTACACATGGAATGCATCCAATATTTTTGGATTTCCCAAGTTCAGCTGTGTTGAGACTGGTTCGCGCTGTATTTGGTTGAGAGACTGCTGGGAATATCAGGTGTTACTAGCATGGGCTAAATGGCCAGCAGATGGCAAGAAAGAAATACTTTGAATCTATCTGTGCAGAGCTTTAAATGCTTGAGGTTATCCCTGGTTCCTCCGATTTCCTCCGAAAATAAAGATAAACTCTCATTCACAAAAAATATCAAACGTACCAACGTTGACGGCCCCTTCTAAAAAAACAAATCATGAGAGACAGTAAAGTTTTCATGGGTGAATAAAACACACTGTTATTATGATGACAAAGCCACCACCAAATGTTTGTATTAAACAAACTAATAATCCCCACCATCGCCGCATCACTCGCACTGTCGACTCCCAAATGCCTGGTTCGCACCCCAGTCCAAGTGACTGCGCGCCGCTGCCGGACCTGAGAAGTAGTGGCGCTTGGTGGTGAGGTCCAAGGATCCCTGCACGGCTGTGCACAGCTGCAGCATGAGCAGCATGGCCACGATCATCACGAAGCTCTGCAGCAGCAACGCGGACTCAAACTGCCGGCCGAACCTTACAACAGGGGCACACACACACACAAAGATCACCCGTGTAGCCTTAGAGTCATGATCGGGGAGGATACAATTTCAAGGAAATCAATGTTCGCAATTGTCACCCACAATAGTTGCTGCAGCATTTCCCCATTGAAAAAATCTCATTGCCCAAAATCTGAAAATTTGAATTGAAGCTGCCCCCAGATGAGCAACCGGGGCAGCAACTCCCAATCAGATGGGAGAAGGTGCACACATGACCGCCTGATGTCCCGCTTACTGCAGCTGAAGAATGGTGGCTACCAAATTCAGCATGAGTGGGATCTAGAGGGATGGATGAGAAAGCCTTTTTATCGATTGCTTTTCTGATAACTAACGTATGGTACTGAGTGACTGGCTAACCAAATGATAATAGACTACAAAAAGGGATTATTGTTATCTAACTAGTGACTAGTACTTGCTCTACCCCATTCCAAATCAGAATCTTTATTTAGACTGGAGGAATCCAATAAACTGTGAAGCTCTTTTTCACAGATGTCCAGAATGGGCGGGTCAGTGATTAGGACTATACCTACACCATCCGTAGTCACCTAGTAATGAGTACTAGTCCCTGCCCCGTCCCTAACCAAAAGATAAATTTACAGTCTGAAAGCCGATTGTTGTTCAGCGCACACTTTTCCTCAAGGCTTGCGCTTTGATCGGCCAGCGAACTTTCTCACTCCATTCCGTTGCGCACCCGAGTTGCCATCGTCGCTGATAGTTAATGCACTGATGGTGATGATTGCCAGCAACGATTGCCCTCGTGGATCATAGCATTTAACAGACCATTGAGGCAAGTGCTGTTAGCAAGCACCCATTAAGCTGCTACAGTGCACAAGGGGATGCGGTGCGTGTACGAATGCACTCAAGCACACGCACACACATGCACACATCAAGCAAACGATCGTCGGTGCAGTCATAAAGACTTTTGCGGCAAGTGCTGTGAGCAAGAAGCACCTATGAAGACCGGCATCGTGCACGAGGGGGATAGTGTGTATGTATGCACACGACCATGCACGGAGGTAAAGCCATGAGCTTAGTTATAGCGTTCTGGAGCATTTGCTATTAGCAAGTAGCCATTGAGGCTTGTACACACACAAATACATTGAGGTAAAGACAACAGGTTAGACTTACAAAATGCAAGGGACAGCAATCTCAGGCAGTGACTATTAAGGCTCAAACACGTAATGATACCGGTTTAGGATTTATGTTTAATGAGCAGCTTAAATGCTACCGGATCGGAGATTGCTGAGGGAACACATGCAGTGGTGACACAACACACACACAGAAACAGCATAATCACAAGTGCAATGGTGAAGGAGAAGGAATAAACAATGAAAAGAGCAAGCGTAGTTGGTGAAACACAGGAGGAAGATGAATGACGACACCATGCATACAAATCGCAAGGGTACCAGAACCAACCAAATGAAAATTATTTTTCTAGTATCCTATTAAAAACTGCTCAAAATTCAACATATCCAACTTTATTCCATGTCTGAAACAATCATTATTATGGTTGAAATAAACATTTACAAATTACGTAAATTCCATTGAGGAAATTAACGCGATAATTTAGAAGTACAATATAAAAAAAAATTACAACATGGCACAATTATCAGCATGCCATTATGTCACCCAAGAAATCCACTGATGCTAAATTTCCACAACGAGAAGACCGACCCAAGCCGGCCCATCTAGACATGGACCAGCACGGCTTCCCCCCACCCCCCTCTCAGCCCCTTCCTTTGCTCTGCACTCATCCAGGGGTTCGGTTCTGCTATCCAAATGTAAAAATCTATCATTCCTTTTATTTTATTTTTCCTCCAGTGTTTTTAAATTATATATTTTTTAATGGCATTGAAGTTGACCTAAGTGAAATACGTTTTTCTTCCAAGTTCTAACCCCGGAGTTGTCACGACTGATTGCAAGGGAAACACAGCTGATGAGTGGGGAGCAACATGAGGAAAGCGACCCACTAAAGGACGAGCTACACGGCGTGGCTTGGACCTGACGTCAACCCAACCCTGGCCCGAGCCCACGCTTGTCTTGGTATGTGAAAGCGGGCAGGGCCCATTTCGAAGCAGTCATGGGGGTATACACGGTACGATTTCCAGCAGGCTCAGCGTGTCTCTACCAGAAGAGGACGCGCAGGATGTTGGCGAGCAGCAGCACGAGGCACACGTGGCTGGAGAAGCCCTCCGAGTTCTGCGTGCGCCGGATCTGGCGGTACTGCGGCACGTATGGCACGATGCCGCCGAACACAATGGCGAACTGAGCAACCCACGTCACCAGCTGCACCACCAGCGGCGAGCCCAGCACCTCGGGCGCTGACAGGTCACCCACGTCCATCCTCACTGCCTGGGCCTGCGTTGCACGAGCGCGCAGAAACGGAACCGGCTTAGATCGCTGAGGGACGGAGGGGAACACCGCAAAATGCACACGAGTGTCACGACGGACGACGGAGGCGGCTTTGATTACCGAACAATGCTCAGCAGTCGACGGCACATTCGGCTAATAAATTACTCCGCTTCAAATCGTGTGATGCACACCTAGCTTTACGAGCGTGCGATTGTCGCACATTATATTAATCCAACATAGCAACGGTGGAGAGTGTGGAGCCCAGCGACCCGGGCTACATTTTTAGTCTGTTACCATGAGGACTGGTCCAAGACCGTTCCCATTATCACTTGTCACTGACGCTAACCGATGCCTTCACATCCCCACACTGACCTTGGTAGTAAAGCCTGTTCAAACAACCTCTATGACTGACGTGGCCTTCGTCCAGTAGAGCACTGACAAAGGGCTGCAAGTTAAACAGCAACAGTGTACGAGGCAGTGCGGGGTTTTGTTGACCTACCTCACCCTTGCAATCCACCCGCTGTCTACCAGGGTAAATGAAGGTAACTGCCGTGCAATACCTTTGAAAGGCCCGAAAATAATAGGGTTCATCACTGACAGTGGGCCAACACCTAGTGACAAGGCTCCGTTCCAATTGTTGCAGCACGCGGGTGACTGTTGGGCCTGAAATAAACACACACTGCTACAAGGACTTTGAACAAAAGCAGACGGCTTTGCATTGGTAGGCAAAGGCATTGGTGCAAGGAACGAAATGGGCACCCCCCCTCCTGTCCAATTTCTCTCACTCTTCGTGACCCAGTGCATGGGACCCGTCATCCCAGTGCAGTGGCGCCACCAGCACACAAACAATCTATGCTTCTGCGTCAATACTATTGCTCTCATCGTCAGCAGCCAGTGTCTATCCACTGCTAGTGAAGGCCTCGCCACGCCGTCGCGAAACGCAAACCGGTTTATCTATAACCTCTGTTCACCGCCGTCAAGATCCATTAACATGGGGGGCCCTCTCTTCATACACGCCGTACCCCCGCAAATGTCACACCATGTTCTTTGAGATGGGAAATATAAAGGCTGTACACATGCCTGTAGAGAATGTTATGCCATAGGTCTCATGTTCTTGTATCTTGCCAATCATTGTTATTGGTCTCTTGACAATCTGTAGCACTTTTTCACCTTATCTGAGACGCTGCAATAAACACGACTATGAACGGTTTTTATTGAATCGTATCTATTTTTATGACGGGTTACTTCGTTTGAACTTTATGATTTTTGAAATGGTTCAAGCATGTGGCTTTTGCCATCCCTAGTGACACGAAATGGGAGTCTGCCATGAAAAAATAAAAACAGACGTATTATTTGGCCAGGTAAGGCCCACTGAGCTATGCATCTCTTTCTCAGAAGCGACTTGGCCAGAAATGATGGCTCAAGGAAGTGGCTTACCATGTCGACATTTATAGCAGCCAAATACTCTTAAAAGCATGTTTCTAAATGCGGGAAAAAATGAATAGAGGACTCGGAGAAAAACATCTACGCGACTACGGCGGAGAAACCATGCACACTCCAAATATACAGGCGTCGAGATCGAACCCATGACCTCCTGTATACCAGGCGATGTAGGATAACATCTCAAACACCGTGACGCCCCTTAACTTGTCGATAAGTTTTTAACACTTTTTTTAAAATTTTCGTGCTGTGGATTTCACACCTGATGATGATTGCTTGTGTTGCAGTCGAAACGTCGTGAGAATTTTTATTGTTTTAGATATTTTTTTATATTTTTTTATTTCCCTTCTACGTGACTTTACCGAAAGAACCAAGGCTATTTGTCGATAAGTTTCAAATTTCATTTACTAGGTATATCCCTGTGAGCCATCCACGTGTACAAATACAGACCGTGCCGGTCAATCGGCTGCTGCATTAGGGCTCTCCCTACGCTGCGGGTGGGGTCACGCAGGCTATGAGACCATACTTCACCACAGCAATTAAAAAAGCCATGTGTATTAACACAGTCTGCTTGCACAATAAACAAAGATTTCTAAAGTGTTATTGGCATCCATGAACTGCAATAAATTATCAACGTTTACAATATAAACAGCGCTGTACTTTTAACGAGTTGACGTATGCGTCGTTATTGATTTAACAAGTGCGTTAAACAATATTGACAAACATTAACACGATTTAAATTGTACAGCAAGCGCAATCTCAAAGATGTTAAAGTATCACTGTATTAGCCATCGTTATATAATGGTTTACACCCTGTTGCCAATCTACTGCTGGATGAAGGCCTTCCCAAAACCGTGTCGCTAATTGGTCGTTGTTTGACCATACTTCACCGCGCTGGTCAGTGTGGATTTCGTGAGGGAGACTGAATAAAAGTCGCTTCGTATATAAGTTGGGTGTTAGCCGTGGCCGGGAATGGAACTCCCAAGACTGCCAGACGGAAGTAGGCCACGTACCGCTTATACACACACACACGATAGTCACTCCCAGAGGCATGATCGTTAACGCTATACACACAAAACACACCGTACAACGCCACACAATTAAACACTGTACTTGTCACCGGCCCAGTACTGTACTGTACACACACACACAAGTCCCACAGTCGCACGTCATTATAAGTCTTAAAACCCAAGCAAAAAAAAAGGGAGAATATTTACTTAAAATGTCACGTTCTCTGCCAAGGCATCAATGACGACAGATTTGCCTACGACTAAACCGGGCTTCGTTACTTTGCTGCTGCTGTTGTTGTTGCTGCTGCTGCTGTTGTTGCTGCTGCTGCTGTTGTTGCTGCTGCTGCTGTTGTTGCTTTGTTAATGCCTGAAGAGACGCGGCCACACGGTTCGGCGACACGAGGAGCGAGGCACATGCCTCGAGGATGAGGAGACGTGGTCACGATGCAATCGCCTCCCTCCACTCGCACGCGACTCGCGCCTGCACAGCGGGATGACATGACGTCACCGTGCAACGCCGGAGTGAGTCGTGGGTGGGTGGGATTTCGAAAGCGATGACGTCAAAACTACACAGGAGGATTCTCAGCGGAAACGCACGGCGCTGATTGGTCGAAGTGGTGGGGGGGGCTGATGATCGGTTATGATGACGTCAGAACTCCGCCAGGGGGGGGGGGTCGAGGATTCTCCGCAGAACGCACGGAGCTGATTGGCCGAGATGGTGGGAGGGGCTAACGATGATCGGAAGTATTGACGTCATATATCCGCGGAATCCACAGCGCTGATTGGCTGAGATGGTGGGAGGGGCTAACGATGATCGGAAGTATTTACGTCATATATTCGCGGAATGCACAGCGCTGATTGGCTGAGGCGTGGGTGGACCTCCTTGGGATCGGAATCAATGACGTCAACAACCCTGTAAGTGGCTCCCAGTTTATTATGAAAATGTATTCATTAATTTAGATTGTGCACAATATGTATCTGGTGCTCTGTGTAAAAGCATTCGCTAAATTAATAAAAAAACTCAGATGCGGAGGGCGCTGGTTGGTCGAGATGGGCTCACTTGCAGGGTCTGAAGCCAATGGAAGGAGGTGATTTGTCAGAGAGTGTGCTGGGGTTTTTTTTTAGACCGTGGTGCCGTCTAATCCAAAGCAATTGTGACGTTTTTTGGCCACGTGGTGTTTTTTAAGTTCTGGAACGAATCTTCTTCTTTCTACCCCTCCACCCTCCCTGCTACAAATTCGATTTATAGAATATGAACTATTTAAAAATTGAATAATTTGTATTTTTTTTTCGACATTGTGATTGTGTAATATTAACGGCCACTAGTGGCTGGCAAGATACCACGTGAAATCATTGCAGATATGATCGGGGGAAAAATACGAAGTGTGGATATTTCACATTAAGATTACACCCATTTGTTAACCCACTGCTGAATGAAGGCCTTCCCACGCCGTATGGGCTCGTGGTGGTCATTTGATCACAATAACTTCGCATGAGGGGTCAGTGTAGGTTTACAAGGTGGCTGTGGGGTGGAGTGTGTGCCAAGGAACGTCGAAGACTTGGCCACTGATGATAGCCGTGTTTGGGCACTGAACTCCGTTTTCCCAGCTCATGTTCGGGAACCGCTGCGCCATTCGGACGTGAAAGAAAACATTTACTAAATATATAGTATGGCAATTATGAGTTTAAAAACAGTGTATTGACCAATATTGTACATTCCTATTCTAAGATATTTCGGTAAAGTCACGTAGAAGGGAAATAAAAAAAATGTAACAATAAAATTCTCACGACGTTTCGGCCACAACACAAGCAGCCGTCCTCAGGTGAAGAACAGAGCTGTTGGAAAGACAGCGTCCTCATTAGCTGTCTTTCCGACAGCTCTGTTCTTGACGGCTGCTTGTGTTGTGGCCGAAACGTCGTGAGAATTTTATTGTTTTATTTTTTTTTTCCTTCTACGTGACTATACCGAAAGATCCTAGAATATGAACCCCTGCAGTCACGAAAGCTTTAAATCGAAATTTGACGATTCCTATTTGTGTTCGAGTTAAATATATTAAACGTGATATAAATCAACGCATTGGATGACAAGCGCGCGCCTTCAAACGTTAAAACGATGACGTAACTTGTTTCGTGTATCGTTTATTCGTATTGTTAAAATAAAGCGGACACTTTTAAAAGCAAGTGTTTTTTTATTACTTTGCAAACAAGCAACTTAAAAATAATGTTACTGCATAACAGAGAGCCCATCGCTACAACAGCACGACCCGTCCCCCCGCATGTACGTGGCAAGCCGAGCAGTCTTGTGTACTCTACATGTCCACGAGCCCCCCACCCCCCCGTGCCTCACTTTTATCGTTTTAACCCCTAAACTCTGAGCATGACCAGTGTCGATCATCACGCGAACTTCAGTCATCCTCGCAGCAGCGGATTTTGTGGCAAGCCCATCGAACAAAGACAGCGGGCACCGCATCGCGCTCTTTTAGATGTGCTGCGGCCGTCTGGAACGCTCTCCCCCTTTCGATATTAGGAAGTCACTGGAGCTATGCACTTTTAGATCTAGATTTAATATTCATTTCTTAAGAACTGCCTTTTGTGTTTAGTTTGCTGTCCTTCCCCGCACCTCCGATTAGCGAAAGAAGTTAAACATACATGGCACCTAACCCAAACCCCATTTCCAATTAAATCCTTACCCCAACTCTCACCCCCTAAACCCAACTCTCTAACCTTAACCCAAAACCTTCACCTTCTAAACTCTACAGGATAACTCGGCAAACTTGATGACAATCGTTACGCAAATATAATTATTATCCATATTTCATGAACTAAAACCCAAGGTGAAGTTGTGATTGCATGAAAATCTGGTTTATGACAAAAACTAAATCCTGCGGGGACTGAAGCGCCAGACCAGTGTCTATCCCGCACGTGTAGAGACAGTAGCAGTTACTTCCTATTCTTAAGCGAAACTTACAAGTCATAACAGATTTGTAACAAGGTAGCGAACGAACACCACATCAATCTTATTGCATACTAAATGGGCAGCGATGCTTGACCCGCTTTAAGCACAATCACTGCACAACAAAAGCGAAATGTTTTGGTCGAAGCTCCGTGACATTTGGGCGGTCCAGGAAATGACTAACCTCATAGGTAGTAGTTCCACATGCTTTTCATGTCAGAATATAGCAATACAAGTTAAACAACACCGCACCCATACCGGTGTGTAAGGAATGGGTGTGTGCCACGCAAGTCCATGTTTACGACTAATCATCATTATTATTATCAGCCATGATCTATACATTGCTGCTTACGGTAATTTATGCCAATTAGAGGGTGCAACAATTTAACCTTCCGATCCGATGAAATATCATGACTCGTGGTGGCGATTTCAAGATTCAAATCATGTTTTATTTAACACTGCCCTGAATATTGCGGCCTCTAGTGGATGCACGATCACACCGACCCAGTTATATAAATATACTGATCGAAAACATTGATTATTCACATTCGCGTTTGGATGCACGTAGCGTGAGCGCATCAACGTTTATCGATGAACTGATGCATTTTTACACTACCTCACATAATTACAAACAAATATCTACCTTCATCGTCCACAAACCATTATCAGAACCATTAAGATTAATTTATACTGGTATAAAAGTTTATTTTAAAAAGGATATTTTTTTGGTATTAAATTCCCAATTCCATTTGTGCTATCGGCATCACGCCAATAGATGAGGAATCCCCTTGGACAACTCATAGAGCGCTGCACCAAGGGTGTTGGAGAACGGCCAAGACATTTTTCGCAGGGCTCCCAAAAAAAAAATTCAAGCCGCCTTTTTATTGTTTACACGATAGGGGGCACACTTTCCCATAAGCTCAGCTATGAGATTGTCACGTGACAGTCAAACCAATACAGCTAGAATTAAGCAAAATTTAGTGCAATTTTTGTTTTTACATGATCGGGTTTCTTTCGTGCGGACAAATGGTGGCTGGGCTGAGACCACTAACTCTCTGTCTGCACTCGAGAACCTAGTTCAAAGTTGGCTGGGTGCCCGATAGATTCAAACCAATGATCTCCGCAGTCCTGGCTCGGCACTCTGACCTCTTGAGCCACCCGGCATCCTCACACGGTTATCATGCTCCTAGTGCTTGTAGTTATTGTTGATCAATTTAATGCATAGGGAAGACTATGATTTTTTAAACAGTGGGAACCCATTAATTCAGTTGGTGCGGCGTCTCTGCACTTGGCAAGAAAGTCGCGTACTGTGGAGCACAATGCACGATCATTCTTCTTTACTACACGTGCACACACACCCACTCCACCCTCCTTCATGCACGATCGACTACATTCCACAATTCATTCATGACCTTCGGAATGAATCAAGCTACACTTTTTTGTCCCCCTAAAAACCACAACTTCAGTTCAATGGCCAAAAAACTACTGGCCTTCTGTGCAAATAATAATGCACGAAGAAACGGAACGACTCGGACGGTCATGCAGATGCAGGTGATATAGAGTTTAAGTGCCATAACATCTGGGCACAATCGAAATGTCAATATCCACAAACAGTGTTGTCGCCCGTGGTTCAGAGTTCAACCGGAGTCTTCTCCCAAGTCTGAACTGGGATGTTCTGGAAAACACACACGCACACAAAGATAAAGACAAAGATCCCCCGTATAGCCTTAACAGACTGTAGGGGCAAGTGCTGTTAGCGAGCACCTATGAAGGCCGGCACGGCACACGAGGGGGTGGGTGGCCAACACCATGCCTGGCCGCATTAGTCTCCCCAGTGGTGATGTGTACACACCACACCGGGTACTCATTTGAGGTTGAGTCGACCTAGGGGAGGCCCAGTACCAGTTCAGATAAACATCACTGATGTTGGCCGTGAGTGGGAATCGAACCCGGGTCTCCAGGTTCGCAGCGCACTGCACTACCGCTCCCCACCACACAGTAATACACACACACACGCACACACACAAAGACCCCATACAGACATTAATAGACTGTTGATGCAAGTGCTGTTAGCGAGTGCCAAAGGCCGGCCGGCACGGTGTGTCCAGCACCGTGCCTGGGTACCTGTGTCTCCCCAGCGCTGATGTTTTACACACCACGCCAGGTACGGTCATTCTTTTAAGGCAAAGTCGATCTCGGAGTGTCCCAGGACCGGTTCCAATATCACTTCGCCATCGATGTTAGCCGTGGCCAGAAATCTAACTCAAGTTGCCGGGTTTGTAATGCGGCGAGCACAAAAATGCATCGCTACTCCTCACTCACACACGGTAAATACAGTAAATTGTGAAAAGGAGTTGCCAAGCGATTATACTGCTCCACCCGTTTGTCCATGACGCCCCTGTAAATTAAGTGAGAAGCCATTGTGACGTGTCAAACACTTGAAGGATGTGACGTTTGAGAAATGCAACTCAAAGATGTGAACCACAACGCATAAACATTGATAATGTCACGAGTCATACTCTCAACAATGGAGTCGGAATTTCGATTCCAGAATCAATTGGTTTAATCTTGTTTGTGCCTTCTAATTGTTTTACCATGTCGTCTTTATAACTGATTTTTATGTTTAGTTTGCTGGCCTTTCCCGCACTTCCGATTGGCATGGTTGACTATTAATAGTGCAAAGGAAATTCAACATACGTGCGTGCAGTGTTTTCTGTTCCACTAGCCTAAATCGCATTAGTTTACGATGCGCGTAAACCTTAATCGATTCTCAAGCGCACTGCGTGTATCGTGTGTGTAGGGAACGTATAATCATCATTTGAAAGCAGGGTGTGTCAAACTCGCTGCCTAAAATGTAGCCGATATTTTGAATTGTGGTGCTCTAACACATGGCTGTAGGGTTTATCATGCAAGCGGCATGGTGATGTTACGCAACATTCAAGTCATGCTGGGAGGGAGGACCCAGCAATTTTGCCACAATTACACTTTCTGCTGTCAAGAGATAATCACGTTTTTCGTGTATGAATGATTGCTCTTACACAGCACGGTACATGCTGCAGGCGGTCCCAAACATTGGGTAACATCACCACAGAGGCAACATTTAAATCATCCCAGTAATACAAATGGGGTGGAAAATGTGTATAATTTTGAAAGTAATAATCCATAGGTAAAGGTGTAGCCCTGCAATTGCCTGTTTATGTCACTTCTGGAAGACAGGTCTCCACCACAGGGAACTTCAGAGAACTCCGAGAGGGTGATTTGGTCTACGCTTCCACATTGGCCAACCGACTAGGGAAGAGGTGGGAGTAGCCATCGTACACAACCTGCCAATCGACCAACCATGGTGAACCCATTCTCCGGGTCCTCCGGTTTTTCCCTTGGTATAGAGAAACATGCATTTCGAGTATTTATCTAACATCTCCACATGATAAGCCACTTCATTTAGCTATCATTTGTGGCCAGGTCGCATCTGAACAAAAGCTATTATAACTCAGTGGGCCTTACCTGGTGAAATAAAAATAGTTAATTCAATGTTCATAGATCAAATTGGACCAGCTTCCCTTGCATTTGAAGTCCATTGCGCTACCCATCACACCACGGCAGCATCCAATTATGAATTATCCGTAGTTATAGAAAATATGGCTTATTTATGGAGAAATGGAGCTGCGATGGTAACAAGGTGTCAGCAGGAGGCAGTAATAACAAGACGACTACTGACAGGCCTAAGTGGCGATGGCCATATCACAATTACTACGATGTAATGGAGCTGCGAGTGCTCGATTGTAACACCACGTACCGGCCTCTTTGTCCTCAAATTCTGGTGGAAGGTCATCGTCATCCTCAAAGGCGTCATCCTCTTCCTCCGCAAGCCCCAACAACTTTGATGCAATAATATGAAACAGAGCAAGGCGGACATTTAGAATGTATCTTACCTCCCAAATATATTCCAACGCCCTGTCATTCAAAATTAGCCCATCACCACCGTCATCATCGCCGTTGTCGTCATCATGGAATGCTTCTCACTTCCGTAACTGCATTGACCACTAGCAGTGGCAGAAGTGGCTGAGGTGCGAGTGTGTGTGTTAATGTTTGCTCCACCAATGGCGTTTAAAACTCCTGTTGGACCCTCCATGAAGAAAATGATCTCACCCCTACGCTCACAAAACACACAGCACCTCAACGGAGTGGTCTAACACGACCTCCGTCCTCCGTGTTCGCCTCAAAGAAATTTGCGGATCCACCATGTCCTAGAGCTTTTGGGGGGCTTCAGAGGGCAGAGGAACCACCCCCTCCCCCCCCCAGCCACCACTCTTCCTGATTCTTGTAGCCAAGTCAAAAACTGTTGGTACAATATTTCACAACAGTGGTGGCTTTTCAGCAATATTCCTCATATACATAGGGGGCGACACCTAGAGCAGAATGGAATGCACAATTGACAAGAAGCACATCGCAGTCACTCGTTCTGTTAGTGTTTACAATATTTCAAAAGGTTAACCATGTCGTGTCTCCCGTCTTGAGTTTCTGTAATAGAAATGTGCGCCCCTGCAGGCTCGCTCACTCCCGCACTACATCTTGACAAAGCGCCTCAACAAAACACCCCCAAGCAGCCTGCTCCCCACCCCATCACTCTGCATTCGTTTGCATCACCTGCGACCCCCCCCCCCCCCCCCCGGGTCCCCGTACCGGTTTAAGTGCACGGAAGGCCCGGTTGAGCACCTCGCGGAGCGTCTTCTCCCGGCACGACGAGGCAAAGTCCTGTGCCGGCCCAAGGAGGCGTAGGCACTCCTCGCTCTCGCTCCACACGAGCTGTGGGGGGGGGGGGCAGAGATGGGGGGGCAGAGGGAGGGGTGGGGGGCAACACACGGGCGTGGCCACCACACAGGGCATGGCTGTGAGTAACGCATGCGATTGGAACCTCTCCACCAGACTGAAAACTCAATTATTTAGAACTGTATTCTTGGTTCTTTCGGTAAAGTCACGTAGAAGGGAAATAATAAAATAATATAAATATAAAACAATAAAAATTCTCACGACGTTTCGACTGCAACACAAGCAATCATCATCACACCTGTAACACAAGCAATCATCATCACACCTGATGATTGCTTGTGTTGCAGTCGAAACGTCGTGATAATTTTTATTGTTTTATATTTATATTATTTTATTATTTCCTTCTACGTGACTTTACGTGACTTTACCGAAAGAACCAAGAATATGAATCCCTGCAGTCATGAAAGCTTTAAATCAAAATTTATTTAGAACTGCTTTAGGTGTTTAGTTTGTTGGCATTGTTCTGCACCTCAGATTAGTAGTTGGGCACGTACGGTGCGAACAAAGTTTAACACACATACGTTACATACGAGGTCAATTAGAGCTGTGATTTACGTCATTCATAGTGAACCGAAATCACGGCGTTAATTGTAATTTCAGCTCACGATGCAGTTGAGATCACATTTATAACTGACTCCATGTCTGTTTTACACCTGTGATGAGTGCATATAACCTCTTTGTGGGTCGCGGGAGTTATTATATGACCATACTTCGCCACGCTGTTAAGTGCGGATCGGTGATGGTGGGGAGCACAAATGTGGGTGCATAAATGTACAGGACCTTAATGGATTTTGCCGCACTGTTCCATGTTGCCCCCAACATAGTCCCACACATTATGGTGCATCCATTCATCGATGTATGCATACAATTGAGTGTTTAAGGAATCGATTATGTTAGGAGGTTCCGGGAAACCCTGCAGCCATTGGAGGTGCTAACCGCACTACAAGAGGACGAAGAGATAGTTTAATTCGTTAATGGAATCGTGATGCGGATTCGCAACAATTCATTACAATTCATCGAATTACAAAGGCAGGAAACTGAAAACTTTAGAAGAACCACTTGGTTCTAAACTATTGCAGAGAAGGCAATGTAGATTATGCAACTAAAGCATGTGATGCAGCCAAGTAATACAAGGAGAATGAGGGCTTTAAGTGCTGGACAAGGGACTGAAATTAACTACAGCCATTTGTAGGAAATGGCTCTTTTTATGTGCAGTGGCATATCTTGATTGACATGGGCCCCAGGTACAAAGGATTAATTGGAGGTGAGGGAAGGTTATTTAATTAACGTAAAAACTATCTTCCTAACCGAGTGGTCTGGGTACCTCCAGCCCGAGGGCCCCAGTGCAGTTTGCACTGCTCGCACATTCAATAGCCACGCCGTTGCATCGGTGTTATGGCGAAAGAAGAAAATATCATAGGATATGACTTTGGTTAATATTGTGTGTCAAAGATGCTGTAAAATGTGAAGAGGTTTTTTTTTTTTAAACAGCATTAAACAAGGGTTTAGAATTCTACGGGGCTGACATAAAACCCAACACGGGGGTGACAGCACTTATTTAACTGACATCCTTTCATGTCACAATTCATCTCGAGGTTGTTGCTCTTATCTTTCCACTTTATTGCTCAGATTTATAGTCCATTATTAAAACCCTTCCATGCCCTCAACTGGCTTTTTTATCCACATTATGTAACTTTCTACATTTCTATCCACTGTATAACATGAAAGCAAGCACTGCAAATGGAGATCTAGGAAATACAAACAGCACACAATAACATCCTTTACTTGCTGCTACTCAATACTCTTTCTTTCATACATGTCCCCCCCACCACGTCTCGAATCCCCATTGCATTTGGAGAGGTCAGTGCCCTCAGCATCTGCTTTAGGATTATTGGATGTGGTTAACCGTAAGAACGTTCACAATCCAATTGAATCGCATTTTCCGAACGGAAAGGATAAACAATATCCTGGCGTGACGCCACAATGTAGCCCTCCACATGTGGAACCCAATGCCCGGCCCGGTCTCCCACCACTAAAGTGTACAGAAGGGTTGGAGATCTGTTGAATAATAGATGCATTGCATTGTCCCTTACAACCCGACCGTGCCAACTGAAATTTGTCTCCAATAGTGGGCGCTAGGATCGCATGGAAGAAGCAGGCGCTGCAACTGTGCCAGGAGGCCCATGAGAGACAGGAAGCCCTGTGGCACCAGGCTGCAAAGGGTGGGGAGGGAGAAATCAAACAGGGGGCCCGATTACATTTCTTGCACCAGGGCCCATACCAACCATGCTGCGCCGCTGCTTATGCTGTCAATTAATGAGAATAACCACTTGTAAGCATACGCTGGTCAGTTTGTTCCTGTTTCAGTGAGAAAATAACACCGCACAAGTGTCAGAAGCTAAGCACACTAGAGTCTGGTTCACACTTGGGGGCTTGCCAGGCACCGTGGGCACGGGGTCTGCGAGGTGTGGAAGACGTTCGTGAGACTGGGTCCACTCACGATTGGGTCTGCATATTGAATCCGTCACCATGGAGCTTTGAACGTCACCCCCTTGGATGTGGTGGGATTTCTCCAGGTTCTCTTGTTTGTTTTGCCACATGACGCAAAACAATCATTCATGGAATTGGCCAAACATTCCAGTGTCGCAGGATCTTCCTGAAAAAGTGGTCTGAGACTCTAAGAGCTGTCTATTTGTAAATAACATTTTACTCACGGTGTTCACGTGATGCTCCCAGTGTTTTAAATTTCCTGGCCGGGCATTGGAACAGTGTCCCAGAGAGTATGAGGACCATTTATGCGAATTAAAGTTTACATTTTTTTATAATATAGATGTTGTTTGTTTCTAAACTGTGATTCTTAAATATGTTGTCAGTTTTAATGTTAAGCTAGAAACACTTCGTCTGTGCTGTCCAGTTGCCCGGGGTGAAAAGTGGGGTAGAATGTTTCTCAATCCTGGCCAGCAGGTTCAAAAACGTGATAAAATAAACAAATAGGCCATAACGGGCATATGAATTCTTGCAATACAATCTGCAACACCGCACTCAGGCAGCCCCCCTTTAACACGTGCACTTTTCCGGAGAAGCGTACCAGCCTGTGCCATGTACCCAGTGGCGCTTGCACCGCCTACACTCTGGATAGCTATGCCACGGACTGCACCCATGGCCTTTCGATTCCTCATCCCCATACATAACCTGTTATTGACCTCGCTAGCCTCTCAAATGCGGTGATGTTTACATACCTGAAAAAAACATTAATGAGTGATTTCCCTTTTTAAAAAAGGGTGTGGAGTAGCGGTCATCTCAATTTCTACAGCCCTGAGAGAATGGTACAAGTTCCATATTCCCATGACAGGGGCCAGTATATCCATGAAAACAATGGACGATTGCTATTGTTGTGCCCAAGTGACGAACAATGCAGCTCGACCTTTCGATTGGCTGGCCATCAGCAATATATTACAGTCTAGAATGAGTGATTAAAGACGATCAATCGTGGGATGGAGTTGGTGGCAGTGGTCCCGGGCATTGCGTTACGAACTCAGCGACCTCACTTTTCTACTCCCGACCAAGACGAATATCGGTGGGGAGTTGTATCTGAACCGGTCATTTTTGCTTCCTCCGCTCCTCAATGACAAGCGTGGTAAAGTATGGCCTGCGGTTCATTCAGCATGGGATTGACAAAGGGCTGCAGATTATTATATAATCGATATTATGACTGGTTCCCTCACCCAACCCCATACAAACACACACCAAGCCATCGGCTCGCGGTCACAAGAGTGCATGCAGTAGTAGTACTGTACAAGCAGTGGAGAACATCGATGGAGGCTTACGACACTCATTTAATGAAGTTGGATAACACATCCAAATGTAGCATGGAACCTCCTTAAAAATGAGCACCAACACCCAGCGAGGATTTTCTTTGAGAAATTACCGCACAGGTAATGATTTGTATTGCTATACATGAGCAAATGGCATGAAGGGGATAATATACCATGCGATTCGTGGTGGTGTATAATCGGAAGATATTAGATAAGACAGGCGTGAATCGATGTGTGACATCAGAATATGAGCCATTGCGGAAGATGTTACCGTTCGCCAATGCGAGACATTTGAGATGGGAAGACGTGTGACATTGAATGATGCGACCCGGGAAGGTGTGATTGAAGATGGGGCTTGAATATATTCGAGATGAGAGGATTGCGTCGTGATGAAATATGTTATATCGGAAGATAAAAGATGGACGAGATTGGAATTAAACAAAATAATCTCACCAGCAACAAGATAACAACAACTGGAGGCGTCACCGCGAAATGACACAAGACACATCATCACAGCACAACAACGGCAATAATTTACATTTATTTGTAAAAAGGCGCCTTCCACGAACGTCTCAAGGCGCCCCCTTCCTCCGGTAGCACTGGAGATGATCGCAAGTGTCGGCCCACATCTTTTGCACCCACACGAGGCGATGTCCAGCAAAGCACTCAAGATCAACAACTTGAGGGGGCGCCACCGTCAAAAATCAAAACGCAATAAACCCAAACCACAAACGACCACGGCGTCTCCTCCCCTCCATCTGCAACGCTTTTGTCACCGCGGCATCTCTCTCGAGAGACAAAAACCCACGAAATAAAAGCCACCCTCCTCCATCATCACCACCATCAACACAATGCCAAAGCGGCCACCACGAACAAGCGGGCAAACTTACGAACGGCGCGCTGGGATCTCCGTCTTGCGGGCACGCCAGGCAGAAGGAGAGCGGCGCCCTGGCGTCTCCCACGGGCTCGCTGAGGAAGTGGAGCCGTCTGTCCGCCTGCTCGGAGGCGAAGAGAGAGAACGGAGTGCTGAGGCACCATAACTCCGCCTCGGCCACCACGGCGCCGAACTCCATCGGGGCCTCGCTCAGGATAGGCGGGAGGGTCGGTGGGGGCCCTCCTCCTCCTCCGGCCGTGTGGTGGTGATGGATGATGACGACGACGGCGGCGATGATGGTGGTGGTGATGTTGTTGTTGTTGTTGGTGGCAGACGGTGAAGACGCCGCACACAGAGGTAGAAGAGGCAGAGAGGGCCAGATGTTCCAGTGGTGGCCCTGCTGCAATGCCCTCTGTACGTGTGCGCGTCTTCAACACCGTGACGTGTGTGATGTCGCTCCCCCTACTGACCAACGTGGGCAATGCGCAGCTGTGAAGCCCTCGGATGGGGTTTTTAAATCCTTTATTAAATCCTTTATTAAATCCTTTATTAAATCCTTTATATTAAGTTCGCTTGCTTGCTTGCTTAGGACCGTGCAAATCTTTCGGTCGTTTTTTAACCCACTTCCCGTGATCCAATCGAGCTGACATTTTGCACACAGACTCGTTGTGCCAGACAATTAATTAACGTTCGTGAAAAAAAATTCCCAAAATTGTACACTTTTTAGGCAAAAAAAAATTATTTTACATATATTCAAATAGAACGCATTCATGGCTTTGGCTGAACGTCAGAGTGTAAGAGCCCAGAGCGTAACCCCTCCACAGGCCGTGGCGGAGTAGCGCAGTTGGTAGCGCCCTCGCTTCCCATGCCAAAGGTCGCGGGATCGATCCCCGCGTTCTCCAAAGGCGAATATATTTTTTAATCCTTTATATTAAGTTCGCTTGCTTGCTTAGGACCGTGCAAATCTTTCGGTCGTTTTTTTAACCCACTTCCCGTGATCCAATCGAGCTGACATTTTGCACACAGACTCGTTGTGCGAGACAATTAATGTTCGTGAAATTTTTTTTTCAAAATTTTACACTGTTTATGGAAAACAAATTAAATATTTGATTACCAATTGTTTAATGGTGGCAGACAATCATCTGACCCATAGGTGGCAGCCATCTCAAGCCAGAAGACGAGAGGACTCTAGCCGCCACGCATATAAAGGATTTATAGTGAAAAACTTTGTTTTTACGGGTTATACTTATTTTCTCTCTCGTAACGTGGCCGCCAATGGCACCGCGGAGAGGAAGACGCAAACTCGCCGTGATCTTGTTGCTGTCGAATTGATCTTATTCAGAATATCTCAAATCCCGATGTCATCATCTGCAGGCGAGTTTCACGCACACTGGCCACACGTAACAAAGACAAAGGTGCTCCCCCCTCCCGTGTAGCCTCAACAGAATGTTGAGGCAAGTGCTGAGCAGCTGTGAAGGTCAGCACAGTTCAGGAGTGGGTGGGAGGGTGGCCAACACCACGCCCAGCCACCTTTGTCTCCTCAGTGGCGCACCAGGTGCTAATTTGAGGCTGAATCGACCTAGGCGATGCCCAGGACCGGTTCAGATAGATACTTGTCACCGGTGTTGGCCGTGAGCGGGAATCGAACCCTGGTCGCTGGGTTCGTAGTGCAGCGTAGCGCTAACCACTGCACCACCGCTCCCCACCCTCAACACACACACACACACGTCTAGCGGATTGGATATCACACCGTGGCCTGAAAGGACAAACATATAATAGACGACGTTTCGGGCATTGACCCTTCTTCATAGTACCATCGCCCGAAACGTCGGAATGCGTTGCGTTATTTTGTTTTGATTTGTGGTTGTCCATCACCGTCAACGCAGCAAGCAGATTAATCAACTAATGTTTAATTGCCGGATTATAAGATGCACCCCCCCACTCCCCAATTTTGTGTTATAATACATGGGAATGCTGCGTCTTATAATGCGGAACATTTCGTTAATATCAGACCTCCCGTTCTGCGCCTCTTACATTCGGGATGGGGCATCGACAGAGAGAGACACACGGACATATCAAACACGAGATGTTTTAAATTAAATAATCGTTGTAAACTGAAATATGGGAAAGAAAGCAATAATAGGCGTATCTTAGATGTTTTGTACATTTATTTATTAACCGTTTAGAGGAATGAGCGATGATTCGTATCGAAGAAAAACATCGAATTATGAATCCGAAATTAGCAAGAACACCAAAAGGTTTAATTGGAAAACGGAGGGGCTCTCATGGTATGGCAAATGCAGTCCGGTACAACGAATACGACGGGCCGAAGTGGAGTGAGATTTCATGCATTGCCCAGTACGCAGATTTTGCAACCCATTTTACGGCGAATTAGTTTATTCTGCATGCAGTTCGTTTGTCAATCCACCGCTAGATGAGGGCCTTCCACAACCCGGGCACGCAGTGAGGATTATTTGACCATCCATACTTCACCATGGTGGTCAACGCGAGGTGGCAGACGCACCGATAAAATAATATCACGAGGATGTACACAATTAAATCATAAAACGCTTCTCGTCTTATGAATACAACCCTAAAACTACAGTCCACCCGCGCAAACGTGGCATTTGCGGATACTTGATAGCGCATGGATGAAAAAAAATAACAATAATCTCCACTGTGGGACTGTGGTCACCCAGAACTGACGATGGGACGTCTCACGACGCAATGCTCGATTCGCAAACACGGGAGTCATCATCACAGCCCCCGACGCAATTATCTGGCTCAACCACCTCAGTGTGAAATTATAGATGGTGTCCATCATCAACAACAGCCATACGAAGAAGAAGATGTGTGGGGGGGGGGGGGGGGAGTTCGATTTGATTCCCAATTCGAATCACCACACCCGACCCATGGACCGCATCGAATCTCCAGAGGATTGCATTCTTCTGGCTCTCGTCACGATGGTCTCTTCCCATCCTCCCCTGCTCCTTCCACTCTCTGCCACCCCCGCCCACTGATGACATAAACCCGAGGGAGCCTCACGTCCACAGCAGCCACCCGCGGTCTTAGTTACAGCACGTAGCATGTTTCCATTAAACTTTCGAGATTTCTACTAAATCCAACTGTGGTCTTCTGGGTGTGACCGCGTGTTGAGAATTCCGTCTCTTAAGCTTTTACGACGCACTACTGCCGGCAGCTTAAGGAGTTGACCTCTGACCTAGATGAAAAAAAATCCAAGACCACAAATTTACACCGGTAGCTATCACAGTCTGCGCTTTTAACCCAGCAACCTCCATGAGTTCAATTCCCGGTCACGGCTAACGTCAGTGGCGAGTGATATCTGAAAGGGTCATGGCATCCCCTAAACTTCATACAGCGAACTCCCACACTGACCAGCGATAGAAACACATGACAACATAACCTCCACAACCATCAGAGTGTGCGGTCTGGCATGGGCCGCCTGACTGGCCAAGCTCGGTATTGCACCCAATGTAAGAAGTGCCCGTGCAGTGGAGGACCTAGGCGATTATTGCAATGTTTCTCTTTCCGTCTAAATATATGAAAATATTGTCGTCATTCTAGAAATACAAAGTCGATTTCAAAAAGAGGGTGGGGTGCAGCGGGGTAACGTAACAAACTCGGCGCAATGCACCCTCAAAATTACGGATCGATTTGGGGCATCAGGGCTCGCTGCCCTACCGCGGTTGGGGTTACTGTCGGGAGTCGGGTATTTAAGGGGAGGGAAAGTATATGGAAGAAGGGGAATGTACCCAAACAGGCCCAGAAATAAAATAACGAAATCGTAATGTCCAAGTGTGTCATTCTTGTTTTCTCCCAGGAGCAGCGATTGCCATGTCTTCACAGAGGTGGTGGATTAAGCTCGTACGGGTCCTGTAGCATATGTTAAAAATTGGCCCTAAATAAAAAAAATACATAAATATTAAAACAGAGCGTTGATATAGTGTTTTTTTCTGGAAGACTTTGCTGTTTTTTCCTGGATTTTTCTGTTGCGCCTAGTCACTTTAAGATGTTTCTTTGTTCATGTTTTTGTTTGTTGCGGTTGCACCCGAGTCAAGAGCCGCATGGCTCACAGGGCTATACCTAATAAATTAAAACTGAATGAAATGAAACTGAAACAGTATTGTCTCGCTCTCGAAGAGAGAAGAAGACTCGGAGGCGCGAGGAGGGACCACGGAAGAGTGGGAAGGCAGCGGCCACCTGGCGAGCCTGTGCCAAATTCCCCACCTCTGCTGCCCCCTATATGTCAAGGTGTTCTCAGCCAATTCATGAGTGTGCGTATGAATTTTTTTATTTTACCAACTATACATTTTTCTTTACAAAGTAACATGCATGGAAGAAAACACAATGGTGGAAAGTGTATGGTACTTTCGAATACAGATGCTGCATCTTTGTCACAAGGAATAAAATGAATGCAAATACATTGATCCTGTAACACTTTCCATTATTAACAACAATAACATACAATTTTGATTTAAAGCTTTCGTGACCGCAGGGATTCATATTCTTGGTTCTTTCGGTAAAGTCACGTACCTTCCGAGCAAGGCACGCGCATGGCGTGTGACATCTTCACCTTAGACAAAAGGCCTATTTATTTCTGGCTCGCTTTTTTGTCGGCAAATCTTTAGTAATAACCCTTTAATCAATTTGCCCGGATCTCTGTAGGATAAATCCCAAGTAGCAATGCAGCCTGGTATTAAAATAATATTCACATTGCATGTATGTTGAACTTAATTTTGGAGCTTTCGTGACTGCAGGAATTATTCTTTGGTTTTTTCGGTAAAGTCACGTATAAAAATAAAATAATAAATTAAATAATAGCATACTATTATTTAATTTATTATTTTATTTTTATACGTGACTTTACCAAAAAAAAAACAAAGAATATGTTGAACTTCTTTCACACCGTCCATAGCCAACCATGCTAATCGGAGATGCATGGGAAGGACAACAAACTAAACATAAAAGCAGTTCTAAAGAAATTAATTTTCATTCCAGCTTTAAAAGTGCATTACTCCAGTGGCTTCCTAATATCGGAAGGAAGAACATTCCAGACGGCCGCAGAAGCGCATCTGAAAGCGCGCAATGCAGTGACCGTCTTTGTTCGATGGCCAGCCAAAAGCTGCTGCTGCTGCCAAAGTGACCGGAGTTCGCGTGATGGTTTACGCTCCTTGACGATGTCAGCAAGGTATTGATTGTGGTTCGTTTGTGGCAAGCACTTTGTGTGTGATGAGTGCAACCTTATAACGTATTCGTTCGGCGACCGAAGGCCAATCCAGCTCGGCGAGCACCGGACGGACACTGTCGCATCTTGCAGTACCCGTCACGACACGTGCGAGCGAATGTTGTACACGCTGCAGCTTGGTCACGTTTTGTTGCCAGACGTGCCGTAGAGTGGTGAGTTGCAATAATCGAGCCTTGTCCATACAATGCTACACGCCACCGTGTTGGCTACGTCACAACTCAATAGTGGTCGAATGCGTCATAGAGCCTTGATATGAAAATTTCAGGATCTCACGACATTGGAACATGCGTTCGACAGTTATCGCGACCTCACGTTACGGACAGTGAAAACGGACAGAGCAAACGCACTGACGGTGCTCTCAACCTTGTTTATAAGAGGAATATAAATGTCTTCTTGGTTCTTTCGGTAAAGTCACGTAGAAGAGAAATAATAAAATAATAAAAATTTAACATAATAAAATGACATTTTTATTTTTATTATTTTATCATTTCCCTTCAACGTGACTTAAAACATTATTTCCCTTCTACGTGACTTAAAAATAATAATAAAAATATATTATGTAGTATTTTTATTATTTTATTATTTCCCTTCTACGTGACTTTACCGAAAGAACCAAGAAGATGAATCCCTGCAGTCACGAAAGCTTTAAATCGAAACATAAATGTCGTTTACCACGTCGATGTTTAGACACGTTAAGACATTTCCTGTGCATGAAGCTGCGGTCGACAGCAGTAAAAAGGAGTTCTCGGGTGTGCAAAGTGTCGGGAGCAAGGTCACCCACGCACACGCACGCACACACACACGCACACACACACGCACGCACACACACGCGCACACACACGCACACACACGCACGCACACACACACGCGCACACACACGCACACACACACACGCGCACACACACGCACACACACACGCACGCACACACACACGCGCACACACACGCACACACACACGCACACACACACACGCGCACACACACGCACACACACACGCGCACACACACGCACACACACACGCACACACACGCGCACACACACGCACACACACGCACACACACGCACACACACGCGCACACACACGCACACGCACACACACACGCACACACACACACACACGCACACACACGCGCACACACACGCACACACACACGCACACACACACACGCGCACACACACGCACACAAGCACACGGGCGTGCGAAGAGCTACGTGCAAGCAGCACAAAGGCTACACTTGATAACCATTTCACAATCGCGCTAAAACTTGTAAAAAAATTGCAGCCACGTCGGGTCATTGGCTGTGGCTGCCTATGCTGGCAAACAAACCTGCCTAGAGACGGTATTATCTCATTGACCATGAGGTCATGGCAGCAATCGTTACTGTTATCGCGAGCCGGTTATTTTGGTGGCTTGTAAAATATCGTGCCAGGCACTGGCTTTCGATTAGGAAGCAGGATAATTCATTATTTCGGATTTATTGTTATTAGTCGCATCCCAATGAAAATAATCATCATAAGAATGAATAATGCATTTGCATACCTTTGTCAATTCAAGTCTGGGTAAAAGCCTCCCCATGCCATGTTTGTCATGGGGGTTATTTGACCATTCTTCACCATGAAGAGGGTTCCAACGACAGGTTCAGGTGTCGCCACGACACTGAGGTTAGCCGTGGCCTGGTATCTAACTCAAGTTAGCCGGGTTCATAGCACACTGGGCAAGCAACTGCATCAGCTGTAAATCTTACCATACACGAGGCTAACATGGGAAGAACTGGCAATGATCATAATTAAGTTGATTTAGGATTGAATTAGTAACCCCCCATATATTTGTTATACATATACAGTCTGCAAATGAAAGAGTGCGGTTAGAAATTAAGGAAAAACTTGCACAAACGCTTTATTCGGGGCAAACACAACACTTCCATAAAAAAAGCTCTAAGCTCAAATTGATAAACGTTTTATTTTATTTTATGACGATGCATGCCATGGGCACATGGCGATAAGCAGCCAATTATTGACAAGCTGTTACAAACGGCTGTACTCCATAGTTCCAAAAGTATTCGACAAGGCACGAGTAGGGGTTGCCACCTTCGAGTTAAAAAAAAACATACCCGCAGATGAAAAATACGTCACGCAATCCCGGAAGAGAGGAGCAACATGGAAATGCATTGGTCCTGAGTGGTGCATTTCTTCGCAGCTGACAAAAAACGAGACCTTTAACATTCCGTGAGAAACAGATGGATGGAAATTGGCCTCACAAACATGTCGTCCCAGATAAACCGGGACAGGTGGCAAGACCCGGCACATTTCCCCAATCACTTTCAAGTCGCATCCAGTGATCCTGTCCCATGTCGTGGGTTGTTGACGCGATAGAGTGTTCCGTGATACAATACCAAGTTCAACAACGTGGCGATTATTGCGATATTAGTTTTTCATAACAATATTTTTTGACTTACTTTCCTGCAATTCCGGGATAAATAAAGATTACTTAAATGTTCCTCAACTGCAGTTCACTTCTCTAAAGCGTGTCGTACATCGTTGTAATTATTAAAATTCATCGTGCACGTGCTGTCCCTTACTCTAAAAATGACCAAATGAACGACAAAACGTGTCATGTCTTATAATTGCCATGCCATCGATTACTCCACAAACATTTTACCAAAACAATGTTACGGCTAATAGCTACGTAATTTAAAACTTTGATCGTCACGTTATTTTCATGATTATTAAAAAAAATTAATGAGCGATTATCACCACGCCATAAGGTGATATTTTGCAAAACGGACGAAATGATTGTCGTGTTTTTTTAAATATCGAACGATGTATATCTTTTCATCGCCATATCGCAGCAACTCTCATTGTAGGACAATTTATCCACCTGTACCAAGTCTTGGCAAAGCCTCTGGAGAGAGTGCATTCATGCACGTGTGGTGCTCAATTGTGAGAACAACACGTGAAGGAATAGGGTACAACTACATCTTCTGGAATGTTCTGGGTCACTCGTTCTCTTGGGGCCCATCAGTACAAGGTGCGTCATCAGGGTGACGGTGTCTCCAATACTCCTGGACCGTGGAGGCGATCATTAAGCGCATTATAATATACAACAAAAACAATAATAATGTACAACCCCGTGTCAATCAGGCCATCCTGAGGGTCTCAGGATGGGGTTAGACATCACTCGCCACTGGTGAGGGATCAAACCCAGGCTGCCAGCTCCCTCGCGCAGAGCACTTAACCAATTCCTGTACAAATAACTGGTGTGCAAAAAAAACATATACTTCATGTTTTTGTTAAGAGAAAAATATATATACAATCACGTGGTCATAAGTAAACGTTTTCGTGAATTAATTACCCATGTGATTATTGTTGCCGATAACAATTTACACGTTCGCTGTTTTGTGATAAGTAGAATGCGTTTTATGGAGGTGCGATGCATCGATGAATATTCATTGTGAAACTCACGTCAAGTGCATCGCACACAGCAGGTGAAAGAAAAGACGTCTCATCAATTCACAGCTGCGCCCACCACAGTGTTATTTGAATCCGCAATTATTGAAACATCGAGTGGTTCTACACAGGCATTCCTGCATTGAACTATCGTCAGCAGAAGTCAAGACCGCGTTTCAATTACTCAATTACTTAAACAGAGACTTTGTGATTTGCAACGTTGAAATGTGTCAGTCTGCTTCAGTTAGAATGTGAGAAATAATCATTCTGGTTTTCCTTTGGCTGTCACACGAAGAATACAAACTAAATAATTGACACAATAAAATAGGAGAGTTCAGTCACTTTAAATAATTTGTTGGGACACTTATTTTTATGATGTGTGTAAATTGAGTGACAGGATAACCGAAATTCACAGCTATAATAAGGCCTGCCACTCAATCAATAGTTTTAAGTACAAGCATCACATTGCACAGTTGATTTAAATCCATCTGTACATACCAAACCTTAGTGGATATCAACCACTCATTTTCACCACACACACACTAAAAACACGCACATTTAGACCGTTCAAAAATACCAGTTAATGACCTTTCAATGAAACGCCCATCAAGGAATATATCTTAAAATATGTTATACATGATGGAAATGTTCCCCGCCCGCAGTAAAGTTTGAACTAAACCCTTGTCTCCTCTCTCTCTCCACTACCCGAACCCCGCCCTGACGACAACTTGTGTTGACCCAAGCAAACCCTGGGGTTTCCACAAAAATAGGGGTCCAAAGTTGTGGTCTGTGCATAAAAATGAGGCACCAAAGGAGATAAGAAAACGAGAGACATTGTCCGCAGTGACCGATAAGGCTGAGAAGCAATCAAACTGCGCCAGGTTATCCCGTTCGAGCCGTACTGCTCCCTCTCTCCTATGAGGTTTCGGGTTGTTCGGCACGATGTCCGACGATTCGCTTCACGTTTTGCCGGGCAGCTCCTTCAAGGAATTACATTGTCTAAAACACAATCGGATAATTCATTTTTTTTTTTACGACAGGTTTACAGCGACGACTTCCTCCAAACCAAAACCACGGCGCAGATTCTCTGCTCGGAACAAAAAACACGCGAGTCGCCCCTAAAACACCCCCGACGCCAAACGCCCTGTCACGCAGAGAAGACGACTCATTGTCAGAAGCGACGCGTTCTTATGTCCAGTGATTGACAGCAACGTGCCGGAGGCGTCCAGGGTTAAAATCTCTTGGTTGCGAAATACGTGGTAGGAATGCCCCCCCCCTCCTCAGCTGTATTGTGAACCTACTGCAGACTGCACGCGTCTCTGAAACACAGCTGTTAGAATGATGTGAATAACACAGTTGCTTATGATCTTAAGGCAGTCCCAGGCATTGGTCTGTCAGTCTCCATTCACTTCAACCATCAATTCCACATACATCGCATTATTACGCCCCATTCGCAGAATAGCAACATACCTCACTTACTGGAATGAGGAAAATCCAGATGAACAAAGTATTTACAGACAACAGTATATTGTACTTATACGGAAATTATATATAAATACAAAAATAATTGCAGTTCCATTTAAACACCCTGACGACTGATGCTCTCTGACAATTTAAATAGTAATTTTTAAATAATTAGATCGAATAAAAAATAAACTTGACAGCAAGCAAAAATATTTCTGCAACATTTTCTCTGTCGTCATTATCGGGATTTCTCAAAGGTCTCTTCTGGGATGAGCGTACGGAAAGGGTAGTCCCAGAACTTGCTCGAGATCCCAAACCCTGCGGGAGGAAGAACAAACGACACCACGTCACAAAATCCCTCATCACAAATGCACCTCTGCAGTGCTGCTCACAACAAGAACAAAGTAACTACGTCACGAAAATCCTGGCGAAAATCCATCAAGGGGTTTGGTTTTTTTTCTACGGAATTCGTGCGAACCACTTCTTGACAGCCGGATAAGACTTTCCAGTACCTTATGGAGACAACCTCACATTCGGACGCAATTTAAAGTTCCCGTACAGTCTCGCGAAAAATAACGTGCGTGTCGACCAAGTACAAAGCAGTCCCCCGCAGTGGCGACACAACTGAATAAGAAGTGGAAACACAGTGCTGTCATGTTGAAAATATCCCGCACCACCCTCCGATGGAGTGACGGTTAAACACAGTTTGGGAGCCGCTTCCAAGTGGGTAGACCTCGTGTATCAAATCACTTCCCCACCCCTGCTGAAGAGAAATGAGCTTAGGGTTCTGCCAACCTAGAGCAACACCGGAGCAAGTATTTAGTTGCTATGGTGATGACGAGCCGAGTGTGTAGCCACTCTCGTGATGATAGGCCGAGCGCTTTGCTGCTTTAGTGATGATGGGCTGAGTGCTTAGCTGCGACGAGAACAATGATGAGCCAAATGTTTAGCTGATTCTCAAACAACAACAACCACAGCAAACGGTGGGCCGAGTGTTTAATCCCTCCGGAGTAACGAAGGCCTCAACGTCCAATGCAATAGCCCCGAAGTGAAGAAGAGCTCAACGTGTCGGCGTTCTACAGCGACTACGAGCGGCGCGGTCTATCCGCCGGAGAGCGACGACGACAAAGAGAGCGACGACGGCTGGCTCGGTGTTCCGACCGCCGCGCGCGAGGCCACTCACCGAGCGTCTGGTGCTCGAAGTGATGCTTGACGTGGTAGGCCTTGAGCGCGTAGAGGTACGAGCCGCGGCTGGGAGCGCCGTAGTGCAGGTAGTAGTGCATCAGGTCGTAGATCACGTAGCCCGAGATGCAGCCGGCCACGAGCGACCCCGTCACGGCGTTGGGCAGCATCGTGAGCATCCAGGAGTAGAAGGGCGCCACGAAGCAGAAGGCCGCCACCGGTGGGAAGACAAGGCGCGAGCCGTCGAACGGCGACTGGGGGAGCGGCACGCACGGCGGAGGGGTCGCGGGGTCAGGGTTGTCGTCGGACGCCACTGCAATGGACCCGGCCTCAAACTCCAGCCAGCCAAGCTAGCTCGCACCGCCTACTGGTGGAAGGGCTTTCCGCTCCAGCGGTGGTTGTCAAAGTGTGGTCCCCGGACCACACCTCCGATTAGTGAAGTTGGCTACGTACGGTTGCATAAGTAGTTCAACATACGAGGGCGCCTCTGCTTACGAACTGTTCGACTTACGAACTTTCAGAGATACTAATACATCTGTCCGTATGTCATGTGGATGTCACCAGTGGCATCTACATCACCATGAGATTGTACTACTTTTAAAGCCATTCCCCGTGTTTGGTGTACATGTCGCACAACTTGTTTGGAATCGACAGGAGTAAAGTTGGACTTACGAACAAATCGACTTACAAACAGACCTCTGGAACCTAACTCGTTGGTAAGTCGAGGAGTCCCTGTACGCACATACATACGTTGCACCGAGAGATTGAATAAAGTCCAGTGTGCTATCTGCGACAACCAAGGCAACGTCACCTGAGTGGAAATTTAGACAGAGTTCGGTGGACAAAGTTGAAAGGTATGGCCGGAACGAGGGGAAAGGCACGTCATTGCATTCCCAGCAGCAGCCCTTAGGCAAGCCAAAGCAACGGCCATCAGCTGGCTGAGCAAGTTGTGCCGATCAGATCGTTGACTTTCATACGACGACCGATCGGTGCGTCGTACACAAATAAACATTACAGCCGTGAAGCGCTCGGTTTCGCGTGTGTGGGGGGACATTGATTAATCCGGCCTGCAATAACTATAATTATATTTTAAACAAGATGCCAGCATGGTTGGTAGCATGGGTCCCTGTGTAAGGAATGAAACCTGGCCAACCTCAGTCCGATTTCTCTTCCCCTCTCTGTTGCCCAGCACGTGGCCTCCTCCAGCCTGTAGGCCCGGATGCAGTTGTACCGTCTGCATGCTCGATAGCTACTCCATCGAGCCTGTAATGATGTCTAGCATTGTAGTTCGAGACAAACATCAGCTGGCACAAATACAGGCAACATTTGTATTAACTGACAGCTTACCAGAACCAGAAGAAAAGCTGAAATAAAATAACTTTGTCGGTACCGAGTCTCCCACAAGGCCATGCGGGAAGGCGCGTGGCACAGCTTGGCGCCAGCTATCATGGAGTGTGGTCGTGTCACTACAGTTCTCTGCGGTGAGCACACCATCTTTAAAAACAATGTCGGTACGCCTCTATAAATTCAATTAACGCTAACCGCTCACGCGTTCTGAGATTCAGTGGTGAACGGGACACCCACCCTACAACTTGCAGTCGTCTCGGAATAGGAAAGGGTTACGCAGGGACACGGTTGGCGTGGGCCCTGGTGTAAGGAATGACACGAGGCCACGGCGCTCGCTCATGCGGCTCACCTTGTGGTGCTGCCCGTGCAACAGGAAGTGCAGCGTGATGAGGAAGTAGCTGTCCGCCGGCGGCGTGCGGTGGAAGAGGAAGCGGTGGAGGCAGTACTCGACGAGGGACCACGTGAAGAAGCCGAAGGCGAAGAGGCACGCGAACCAATCCTGGCTCACGTTGACTCCTCCGTCTGTCGGTGGAGCAAACGCGGGGGGGCGGGGGGCAAGAGGAGGCATTCGTGTGCCGGGTCAAGGTTCAGGTTGCGAACGTGAGCGGTGCACCACGTGAATGGAAATGAAGCCCAGATCCACAACAACAGCAGACCCGCCGATCACGGATTTGGCAACTCTTTAAAGACGAAAGCCGCCAAAAGCACCAAAACAAGTCACTTAGAGAGACCTTTTCAAGTGGTCCAAAAATGTCACGAGCAAGTTTTACACATAGTTTGGGGTCATCATGGGCCTGGCGTGCAATATTAGAAAACAGTCTGGCTGGCTGGCGCACTGTGGGGGGACATGGGGGGGGGGGGAGAGCACCCAAGGGGAAGGTGTGGGTGGGGGGGTGCGTTGGGGGGGGGGGTTGCGGGTTGGTGGTGGTGGGGGGGGGCCTGGTGGTTGTCACGCGTGAGAGGGGGTACCCAGCGGTGGGAAAGTGGGGACCTTGGGGGGAGTGGGTGAGGACCGTCGTTCTATCGCAGGTATTTTAACGATATCATTAACAAAACATATGCTGACTGGCTGGAGGGAGAGTTTGACGGATATACGGTCACGTTCAAAGGACGTGTGGGCTGCTATTTTTTTTCTTTTTAAAAAATAAACAGGGGGATTACAAACTTCAAGCGTGTTAGCCACGTTGCCTTTTTCAGGCCTTTCCTGCCACCTTTGCGCACAGAGCAGCATGTGGCGGGGTGAAGAGTGGGTAATGCCACCTTTCCCAAGATGCCTGCCCAGCATGGAAGAGTGGGCCAAACTTTCCTTTACAGGAGAAATAAGTAATTCAGACGCTGTCTTTCCGACAGACTTGTTCTTCACCTGAGGACGGCTGCTTGCGTTGTGGCCAACACGTCGTGAGAATTGTATTTTATTATGTTTTATTTTTATTATTTTATTATTTCCCTTCTACGTGACTTTACCGAAAGAACCAAGAAGAATATGTCTCCTTCACAGTGAAATCTATAAAAAAAAAATGTAATTCTTTGCGCAAAACCCATCGGCTGCACAGCCTTCTGGGAGCGCACAGATTCAGCGCTATTGTTTCGAAGACGAGCACAAATCCCGAGCGGTTTCGACACACAGCGTCTCCACGCTACAGGGTTTTTTGGGTTACATCGCGTAAATATATAAATGTGCCAATCTTGATTTGAAGCTTTCGTGACTGCAGGAATTCATACTCTTTGGTTCTTTCGGTGAAGTCACGTAGGTAGAAAAACAAAACTAATAAATCACGACGTTTCAAGCCATCGTCCTCAGGTGAAACAAGACAGCAGGCAGACTGCTGAGGCATGAGGAAATGTAGCGAGAGAGCCGCCGCAACCAGAGGCCACACAAACCTGTGGTGGGCACAACCCAAGGGCAAGTGAGCGGGGCTCGGGATGGAATTTGCAAGTAAATGCATTGAATTAAATTAATTGAATTAAATGATGACGTCACCCTGATGCTGCTCTATTTAAGACCGGAAGCAACAGGAGAGTCTCACCATTCTTGCCCGATGAAGCTGATTGTAACTATCAGCGAAACGTCGTACAACTCAAATTTTAAAATGCTGTTGATTCTCTCTTCAGCACACCGGTGGGCTAAAGAAGTGAATAATTTTGTCCTTTGAAAAACGTGACACATTTTTTACTGTTTGGCCGTGTCGGGTGGTGGAGGGTTACGACACATTTTTAAATAACTCGATCTGACCCAAAAACCTATATTATGAAGTAAATGCAAGTTTGATATTTTTTTTTCTCTATCACATTGTTCCCTCTGTAAATTTCACCCCCATCCTCTCGCCCGTTGCGGCAGCCCCTCCCCCTCCCTCTCCCCCCTCCTGATTGACCGAGTTGTGCGACCTCTGCGATCTTGCATTGCCTGACTCCGCCCACTTGCCCGACCACCACTCACCTGTGAACGTGGTGAACACGCGGATTTGGTTGCCTTGCAGGCCCCGGTAGCTCGTCAAGCCCATGGAGACGATGATGGGTATCCACACCAGCGGTATCACGTACCTGTGGCCACACACAATGGTTGGGTCGCACGTTACGCGGAACGACGCGGTGACGTGAGCTTTGGGGAAACGCCGGGGGGGGGGGAGGTGTGGGGTGAAGAAACCGTACTCTTAGTTTTTTCGGTAAAGTCACGTAGGTAAAAAATGAAATTAAAATTACTAAAAAATAAAATAATAAAAATCACGACGTTTCGGAGGCAACACAAGTCTCCGTCATCAGGTGGCACCGTCACAGCTGAATTTGCCGTATCAAGTGACTTTACCGAAAAAACTAAAGAGTGTGAATCCTTGCAGTCACGAAAGCTTCTAATCTAGAATTAAGTGAAGAAACCGGTCGGACTTTTCGAGCGGCGCGAGCGCTGATGGTTGTTGGAGGGGCGGGTCAGGCGCCGCGATGTCGCAAAGCCCCGCGGTGTTCGCGGGACCACTTACACAAGCATGCATCACGGAGGCAGGAGCGGGGTGTTTTGCCCCGCGGTCGATGAACCCGAGATAGACAATCGGGGAGGGGGGCGGGGAGCGTTTGACGATTGAGTCATTTAAGCGCGGGCTCAGCGAAGGCTCGCCAGGATCGCACTAAAAAGGCGTTCCAGTAATAGAGTGTGGCGTTTAGACACGGCGATGTTCGATGGATTATTTGGTGACGCACAGATGAGCAAAAAAACTCGACGCATTCGTTGCTTCGTTGTATATGTTTGTTGTTGTTGTTGTTCCTTTTAAGGCAGACTTATTTTGACAAATGCGTTGGCTTTTTGAAGTCGGGTAAGGCTGCAGTGGTTTAAAAATCAGAAATGATTCCACGTGTTTATTGGGGTTAAAAGAATAAATGTTTTACGATGCCGACAACGGCAAAGGTCCAACAGATGATGCAGAGGGCTTATTGCAATCGACGGGAATAATAAAACAACACGAATAGGAGATGACTGTACAAAAAAAATACATTTTATTGCTGACAAAGTTCACATGTTTACCAAGGTACAATAACACAAATTATTAAAGAAAACATATGCTGATACACTGCTTTTATCCAACTCCCCAAACATATCCTGAAAACGAATTAGACATTTAAATTCCATTTTCTAATCACTATTGTGAGTGACTACAAGTACGAGAGATGCATCGATTTCTCGATTATAATCGTTTACTCTGCTCCCGACAAAACGCACAGAATCCTGCGTACAAGAACCGATAGTACACAACAGATAAAAATCATAGAATATCACCTTTTAGGGAAGTGTGACCAATGAAAGTGGACACATTTGCACGAAACAGGAGTTTAAAAATATATACTAAACAATACCAATGGGATAGCTGAAAACGAAACGAAAAATATTTTTTTAAATGTTAAAATAAATTCACGACGTCCCAAATCTCGTGAATTCATCGAGTCGCTGTGACTGGCGGTTGAGGGGGCGGTGGGGGAGATCGCTCACACAATATTTAATATACGACGCCAAGGCCAGGCACGGCAGCGGCTTCAGTTTCTCGGGCCCGCCGACCGAGGGGTCAAATGTTTGTGGGTGCTCTGTGCGGACCTCGCCACGTTATTGATTTGGGATGGCGGTTGGCGTTGGCCAGGGGTCGAATTATTTGCGTCCCCAGACCCAACCTCCGTTTCGGTCCGACCGCTCCGTGCGAGTGGGTTTGAGTCGGCCAATGAGATTCCAAAATAGCCACGGACATGTCGAAGCAGCCTCCACAATTTCATATTTCAATTCTGTTTCAATTAATTGCTTCCAAATCCATGCAAACTTAACGAAACGTAAACACACGGCATTAACCCACCCACTTATTTTGCTTAAATGTTTTTATTTGATGGTTTTTTTATCAATAAGTTAACATTATTTGTTTCATGACATGCATTAGATGGGGCAGGGCCCCAGCTCCCCATACAGACGAGCCGCTACTGCTGCCACCGGCGAGACTCACCAAGCTGTTTTGCTCCAGAATTCGACAAAGTCGGACTCGAAGAGGCGGATGCGTCGATCCACCGGCTGGTGCACCCACTCGCTGTATTTGTCTCCCAGGTGTCCCACCTGCCACAGCAGGGCCTTACTCCAGTCCACGAGATCCTGGCAAAACGGGACACACGCAGGCGGAATTAAAGTTCCCCTGTACGTTAAGCAGCCTCCCTCCTTGACCTCCTTTAGTTACCTTCAAGACTCCACCTCTTCTCAATTGCCCATTCCATTCCTCTTCCTTGCCCCCTCCACTCCTTTCCATCCCATCCCCTATAGCCCTGTCGTGACCCCCATGTGCCCTCTGCTACGGTCACTCATTCCTCAACCCTGCCATCTAAATCACTCGATTTTTGTAACCGCTTTTAAACTACGTACGGTGCCTTGAGCTAAGGCGCTCTATAAATATAACTATAAAAAAGATGATATTATATTTATTAAGTGCCGGAACATCCGGGCACTAATCGACACGAATGATACAGCCACAACTTTTTGAAATATATTTTGATGGGTCATTAACGACGTCTATGCCAGCGTGATTGAGGAGTCCAAATACCATCGAATGGGACCACTCTCTCCAGAGCTCTCTAAGTGCGCTGAGCTAAGAATTGCCGGACCGCACTTTTACATCTTGATTTGTTTATTTGAATAGACATGTAAATGCATTTCAATGAAGCGTGACATTTTTTTTTACTAATATACGTTGAGAGTAAATGACTCATCCCAACTGCGCACTTGATCGAGAGAGTGTGTAGTCGGTGACTGAAGTGCAGTTAATTGGGCAGTCAATTCTAACACTCGCGGGTGCGAGACGATCCCAATGTTGATGAATCACCCACAAAGTTAGACTCATCACAATCGTCTCGTTCAGAGGCTCATGCAAGTCAACGATTTAATTTACGTTCAAAGATGTTCAATAATTCAAACGCAGACAGACCCCCTCCACGCGCCACAATTTTTACACAACATCATCATCATCAGCCATGGTCAATCCACAGCTGGATGAAGACCCGACCCCAAAGCCACCCACCCTCTCACGATCCTGCTACGTAACTATCCACCGGCACACGAAACCAAATTCATTGTTCCATCTCCTCGGTGGACGTAGCTCTCCGACACGTTCCATTTACAACGCGTACAGTTTTTTTTAACCCCCGCCAACCAAACACTGCACACGAATTACCCCGCGTGCATTTAAATGAGCGGCGTGTGTGTGTTTAGCATGGCGCTGAGTAGTAAGCCGGCACCTATACGGACATATTGCAAGCTTTGTTACCAGGCAATAACCCTTTATTTGCGGGCGCTGTGCTTGTTTGACGCGGTCGCGCGCACACCGCTAAAATCTCTCCCTCTCTGCCGCCGCCGCTGCAAGTTGTCATGGTCAGCGGCGCAACATCTGTCCAGCCGTTTCCACGCAACTCCCATTCAAACCATTTTTTGTTTTGTTTCTTGTTGTCATAAAACAAGTTGTCCCCCCCCCTCCCCCAGACTGGCCGTGTCGGTGGCTTCGTCATCGAGTGCTCCTCTCACGACGAGGCCACACGGCCCCACAGAGACTCGTAGACTCACGTAGACGCACAGACTCGCACAGAGGCCCACAGACTCGCGCGGAGTGTATGTATGTTGCATGAATGGACGTATGTTGAACTTATATTCTTTGGGTCTTTCGGTAAAGTCACGTAGATAGGTTCAAATTTATAAAAAATTTCTATTAATTTGAACCTATCTACGTGACTTTACCGAAAGACCCAGAGGATATGAATTCCTGCAGTCATGAAAGCTTTAAGTCAAGATTTATGTTGAACTTCTTTCGCACCCTACCTAGCCAACCGTACTGAATGGAGGTGCGGGGGAAGGACAACGAACTAAAACAGGAAAAGCAGTTCTAAAGAAATGCGTTTTCAATCGAGATTATTTAATGTCCAGAGCTCCAAGTGGCTTCTTAATATCGGAAGGGAGAGCATTCCAGACGGGCCGCAGATGGCTGAGCCAAGTTCCCTGTGGAGGGTCTCTCCGGAGCTCCCTCGAGCGGAGGCCCCATCCACCAGCAGTGGCGTGAGCAGGACATTGCAGGGTTGCGCCTTTACATTTTAAAAATCTCGAATTATTTCCTGCATTTTTGCGTCTCACATCCACAATTTTGTTCTCGCCACTGTCCCTAAACGTGACGTTAGAATGTAATTTACAAACGATAGGAACGAAGCGCAAATTATATCCTACAGCGATCACCACACTCAATAATGCTAATTAATTATTAAGTAATAGTGTTTACAATTGATTGTGAAATAGAGATGTGCAATGACAAATGTAACCTTATGTGGGTATGTGGGTATACTTGGGCTGTTTTTATATATAGTATAAATTGATTGTCTTTCATTTAATTTTATTTTTATTTTCTTGTTTTATTTAATTTAAATTTATGAATGATGCCCTGACTGGTGAGCATTTTAAATTTCGTTGTACTGGTGACAATGACAATAAACGATCTATCTATCTATCAATCCGACGCACGTATGGCGAGTGTAACAAATCAATTCCAATCGGCGATCCTCTGTATGTCGTTACGTGCCCAGTGGGCAGGAAAGGACCGTAACCGAGTGACAAAATGCTTAAAGATGTGCATTTTTATTTTTAAACTCACGTGGTCCGTCGATACGGTCTTGTAGATCAGCTCCTCGGAGTCGTGGCTTCTGTCCACGCTGGAGACGTTCCTCCGCCTGACCTCCTGCCATGAGAGCGAAGCGACGAACGTCAGCGCGAAATGCAACGCCGGTCGTTTGTTGGTCACGGCGCGACGGATGAAGCCACGACGCGAACCAACGGAGGGAGCGCTCCTGCGAAACCCGTTCGCCAAACGCGCCGCGTGGGCGCGGGCCAACTCCAAAAACGCCTCCTTCGAGACGGTGAGAATAGTCATCGCACGGGAAGAGGCCGTGTGACGGGAGCAAATTCGATTCCTTCGCCCCCAACTCCGATGAGCAGGTGGGGTCGGTCCGTGGAAATGTGGGCATCAACTGAATGGACCGCGGGCCAAAAAAAAAGTTTGAGAAACGCCGAACTGGAGGGAGCTTTCAGAGTACCGATCTCGAGGGCATTTGGCCTACTCTTCCACGCTGGCAGAGGTGGGAGCGCCCACAATTCACCCCCACCGTATACGCGGATATTTGTCTTTGTGTGTGGGTACAGCAAAGGATATTTGAGGACACACTGCTGTACAGTACTTCACGTGATGTGCAAATACGTTGCAACAGCCTTTTCGATAAGTGCTCGATATCCACGGGTTCACACGTTTAAAAAAATCCAGCCTCAAGCGTTGCATGGAAATGATCAACGTTCATCACACGCAGCAGGAACCCCCCCCCCGACGTGACGTGGCCACCGGGTTCACAAGTCAGAGTGCTGAGCCAACACCGCTGACATCCTGGGGTTTAATCTGAGGTTCAATCACCCTGCGATTAAAATCCGAGTTGAATAGCACAGCGAGTCGGTGGTCTAAGGCTGTTCACCGGTGACTGTGCAAAAATAAAATACTGTACTCACGCACATTCGCACATTGCAATCAGCCTGCAGAACATCCCACAACGCACTATAATGGACGCATTCCGCGTTATAACAGGCGTGTTCCGCGTTATAACCGGCGTGTTCTGCGTTATAACGGGCGTGTTCTGCGTTATAACAGGACATGTTCTGCGTTATAACGGACGCGTTCCGCGTCATAACAGGACATCTTCCACGTCGTGTGAAAAGTGCTCCTGAATAGAAGGTTCGCGTTATAGTGAAAGACCGCTTTACGTTTACACGTCAAGATATATTTAGCGCTCCGCCTAATTTGGCTACATCATTCCGGCTGTGAAAGTGAAAAATATCGGTTTTGTTGTCACAGTTTAGCGAGTTTCATACGCGAATAAGAGTCACTTTAGTGTTGATGCAATAGTTGCCGTGGCTGTTTACAATGTTTACGTAATTATCGTGTCGGAGAATTTCTGCATTTATTTTGGTGTTTTACGCACCGGGGGTCCACATACGGTTGAATATTTTGTTTACGGAGAAATACACAAAAAAAACCCAACAACAAGCCCTGAGAGAAAGCAATACTCGTCCGTACAAAGTGTGACAAGCTCGCTCGCTCGCTCGCTCTGTGCGACCGTGTCGCAACCCATCCCATGCCAAGAGGGGAAATGCCACCTTCGCTTGGCAAACACGCGGACGCCGGGCGACCGCTCTCGCACGATCAAAAAGACCTTGGAACTTCCTCAATGCGCATCTCGGCACGATTCCATATACACTCCCCCCCCCCATACATTCGTTATTTGGCACGCTGAAGGTAGAAGGGGTTGCAGCTTCACGAGTCAAGCAGTAGGTCACCATCACGCAAATTCGTCGTGCTCGCAGCAGCGGATTTATAAAGTAAAGTATACTCAAAGTGCACCTAGCATGGCACAAGAGCCGTGGTGACGTCAACCGCCACCGAATGGTGTACAGCGGTTGTTGTACTCGAGATGTCTGGCCAAAATGCCCTCTTGAGGGATTCTCCAAAACTCCTCATAGTGGAGGCCCTACATGACAAACATTGGTGCGAGCAAGCAGATCAGGGCTGCACCTTTAATGTGTCCCTAAAATCACGGACGCAAAGCATCTCACAAAGGGCAGTGGCTGGGCTCCCATTGACGTGAGGCTGCACACGGGAACAGGCCAGGCGTGAAGCGTTGGGGACGGGGACAGAGAATTCCCACCGTTAAAACATGGACAGGGCCCTCTGATATTCGTGGCGTTGCACTGCCACGCAAAGTTTCTAACAAGCCGCTGAAATTGTCTCACCGGAAATCTTAAAAATTCGTTTTATTCTACTTTCATGTCTTTTTATTTTTACTCCAAACTAAATGAAAAAATGTCACCGTAGTTTTAGCGGTCAACGTGACGATCGCGAGACCGCTCGTGATCGTCACGTCGACCACGACGTGGCAGCTGTGCCACGTATCGCTGATGCCTGTCCACTCACTAAATAGTTCCCGCGGAGGGCTTCAAGAATTACACGATTATCGCGACTGGCTACGTACGGTGCGAAAGAAGTTCAACATGCGCACGTGCGTGGCCACCGAGGTCGCTGCCCGCGCGGCTGGGTCGATTACGCACGCGCCGAACGAATGACGCACACAAAACCATCGCGGTGGGACATCACAATTTCCCTTGCTGCAAGTGCCATCGGCCGTGCCGTTAAAGTCGCGGCTTGAGCGAGGAGGACGCGTGGTTTCAGACAGACGACGTCAGAGATCAGAGCGCCGAGTTTGACCACCACTGAGATCCTGGGTTCAAACCCAGGCGAACACCCGTGAGAAAACCGGGTTCTCAAATGTAGTGGGTTGCTGGGTCCTCAGCTCGGTTAACAAAGAACTACACACACACACAAACTCTGGATATGAACGTCAAGCCCCCTCCCCCCCTCCTCTGCTGATCACTTGAAGCTATCTAAAACGTAGCCCTGTAATATCCACTTACACGGGACATTCTCTCACACGAAGGATTGTGTCGCTCTGCGAGAGCCAAGGGGTGGGGGGCGTCTGTCGTAAGCCTTGAGCAGGGGGTAAGGAGTCAAGGGCGTGGATGGCTGGGGGAAGGAAATGTTCAGGCGATGGGAAGTGCGGGGGGCAGCAGAGGAGACTGATCAACGACGAGTGACGACATAGATGCCGCAGACTTTGTTCTACAAAGTCAACGGTTATCAACTCTGCATGGATGCTCGTGTACACCGAAAATGCGTTTGCGCGATGCACATTACCCAGTGTATTTATTTTGGCCGCGGTGTCGTCCCCTACAGCGATATCTTCAAGCAATCAGTGGCCACGATCTCTGTTTCACCCACCCCACCCCCTACCCAAAAACGATTGCAACATAAACACCTGCACTGTTACATTCTTCTCTTTAACTGCGGCAGCCGGTCCTTTGGCAGTCGGTCACACGCGGAATCGACGCAAGCCGTGCCACTTGTTGGGTTTCGGAAAGCGACGATTCGGGACAAGTTGGGACGAATTCTCGCCCCCCCCACAAACGCCTGCGTGGAACTGTGAATGCGCTCGTTAGAGAAGCTGATGACCCGAGTTTGATTCCTGCCCACGGATGGCATCAGTGGAGAATAAATCATTATACTGGTAGGAACGAAGTGGACCAGACCACCAATAGATTAATGTGTCCGTCCGTCCGTCCGTCCGTCCGTGGGAGGGGTGGTGTTGAGGGTGGTGTTGGAAATGAAAGACTACGAGTCTTTAAATCTCACAGCGTTTCTTGTCAAAAAAAACACTTTTAATTAACGTTACACTAGAATACAGTATTTTTTTCTTTAACTCCTCTATACCCGGTTGATATCTCTGTACCGGTACTAAGTATTATTCCTACCAGCCCACCCCGCAGGGTCCTGTTTCAACCGGTCCTGGGCGCCCCCCCCATCCACCCCGCCCCCCACCCCATTCTGCCCCCCACTCCCCCCCGCCCCCCACTCCCCCCCGCCCCCCACTCCCACTTCATTTGCCTGCACTGACCGACGTGGTGAAGTATGGTCCAACAAATTCCATTATCGACAGGGTGTAGGCAAAGGCCTTCATCCAGCAGTGGATTGATAGCTGTGACTTGTAATTAATGAGACACTTATTATTATTATTAAACATGAAGCCGATATAGATATTACTACGTGTGGTGTCGGGTTGTTACACTACAGCATAGTGAGGGGTGGCAGTGTCTTAGAAAGGCCTTCATCCAGCAGTGGATTGACAATGGCAAATGATGATGGTGGTGGTGGGTGATGGGATTTAAAACCGCCGTTTAATAAAAATACAAAACAATCTTTAAACATGGTTAGCACATACGATGTGGTTTCGTGGCGTTTACTTTGCACGCTTTCTTATCTTTAAGACCTAATAACATCATAATAATACAAAATAACTTGAGCCCTTTGTCAACTAAACACTCAGGTGTCTTCCTCTTGGTGGAACTCTCACCACATCACGGGAAGGTGTCAAATCTTGCCAACTCACACTATAGACCATTTCATGAGACAAAGACAACCATTCCCCGTGTAGCCTTTACAGACTGTTGGGGCAAGTGCTGTTGGCGAGCACCTGTGAAGGCCGGCACGGCACACGAGGGGGTGATGTGACCAGAACCACGCCAGGCCGCCTTTGTCTCTCTAGGTGCTCATTTGAGGCTGTCGACCTCTCTCATTTCATGAGAAACACGTGGGACACGCAGGGCTTTTAAAGCCTCACTCTTCTCTTCTCGAAGTAAGGCACTAACACTGGAGTACAATGACCCATCCACAAAAACCCGCAACGATTGTACCCTATATTGCTATGAACGGGTTTATACAAATTAAAATACTAAATAAGGTGTAGATTGAATGTGCGGCGTAACAAAATAATTCCCGGAACAGCGTTCCGCACTGGTTCCGGATGAAATGAAGCTCTGGGTACAAGTCAGAAGGCGTTGGCAGTGCGCGAAGGGCCCGAATGAATAGGCTGCTTTCTAAAATGTGGAATATTTTAAGCTGCAAAGCAGCAAACATGAGTCACACTTTCATGGAAAAGAGGATAAAATAATGACTGATGCAGACTGAAGGTTCTGTTTGCAGTGAGATCCGGTGCCTCATGCCCAAGAGTCAATGTTTAACTCGGTGTCTCTGACCCCTGCGTCGGAAGTTCGCTGTCAATACGCGCGTACCTACATCTGCGTTTATGT